TGAATGGGCGAGAATTACAGGGTGATATAGTATTATCTATGTTTGGAAACTTAGTCGAAAAAAGTTGGATTATATGCTTTTACTAGTCTTTTAATTTCTTGCCTCCTTCCTTCAATTAAACATCTTTTGCAATCGTCTAGAAGAACCCATTATACTCGCGGATATAACATGTTATACCTAGGTCAGCGAGGCCACGAGAACTGGCAGTCAAGTTTCCGCATATACGGAGAGTAAATCGCGCTAGTTCTCTGTATTGACCAGATTAGGTCAAATGAACGACCACACTCGGATCCCGTATGCGTGTTCACGGACACAACATACATTGACGACGCTAGATTCTAGGCATAGCAGAGATATCTGTTTGCCAAATAAAGAATGAGTATATCGCGCAGCATTCCGTTTTTTTCTACTTTATGACCTTGAAAAATAGAGGACATTCGTAAGTTATTAGCACTCAATCATAGGTCCCCTTAAACTATTTCTCTTGCTTTTAGGAGCCGCTCAGTTGCTAATTTTGAAGTTATATACCGAATACTGAGTAAAGATGGCAAGTAGATTTATAAGGTAATGAGTCTTCATCTACCGAAATAGATAGGACATGTATTAAGTATCCCCATCCACTGACTACCACAAAGCGCGATTATAGATGGTGTTAATAGTAGGTTGGAGGAAATCTAGAGGTGGTCATACCAAGACATGGCATCAGTCCACTAAGACAGTGACTACTGAAACTAATCATGCAGGTAAGTACAGACAACCTGGTTGAGATCCGCGAGATTACCGTCACAAATTGTTAAAATCTGGATGACATGGCTCAAAATCGTTCACAATAACTCTGGTGCATTCACTCTTAAATCTCAAGTTTTCAGATCAGTTTATAAGTTTTTCATTCCATTAATCCATATTTTCTTTGCAAATTGTATCTTGGATTCCTAATGCTTTCTATTACTACTGATACTATTACTAACTCCATTACTCTGGGATTCGTTGTGCTAATGGATGTTGAAACATGAACTGACGTGTATATGTGCCAGGTTCTACAATGTGTTTCACTTATTGACTGACTTATCAAGCATTAATCCTATTTTTTGTGCTGATAGAAACAACCATACACCAGGTGAAGTTTGCTCAATTGTGTCTTTTTATATCATATATAATGTATAATAACGATATTGTTACATGTTATTTGGCAATGAAAACGGTGGGATGTAAACTTTCTTCAAATTGAGAAAGGATTATTCAGGCCATCTAGAGTTTCTAAGTAATTGTCACTTATTTTAGATATTAATCAGGCTAATAATCCATCGGGATCTTGTCTGAGATCATATTTCGATCATTATTCTTCATAGACTGAGGTGATCCAAGTATGTATTACGTATATTCAATTGCCGCTTACCTCAACATGGGTTGGCTGCTGGTATAGGATTGTGTTGAAAGAGTCATAGGGGCAGTCAGACGAATACATGGCACCAGCCCATGAAGTTAGTTACGGTTTGTCTTGTCCATATTGGTAAATTCAAACTATCGCATTGTGGTTTACACAGTAACTGCAATTATCGGTTAGAGACTTTGAGTGTTGCGGCTTAGAATCTGTCACATCGGAGTCGATGTACCACACCTTATCTATTTTTAATCTTGAGTTCTAGTGTTTCTTCATATATGTCTTTTCAACTCTTCTGTTCAAACCGTATTCTCAATGTTTGATCTTTCTTATTCACATTGTTGCTTGATTTCTCGGACTCATTTGTTATTTATCTCGTCACTCCGTGTTCTACGTTGCTTATGGCTGATTCATTCCAGTCACTCGATGAGTCTGTAAATTAGTATTTTTAACCGAATACTACGAAAACAAAGTTATCAATTGAGTTTTATAGTTCATGGTTTGGTAAATATTAGGTTATTGCAGGCCGCCCACCAACATTTTCCCTCCAACCCTGTCCTGAGTAACCCTTTCCAGTTACTTTTTTTCCTTTTTATGTCTGCTTCCAATTGCCGACGTAGTGTCAGTCAGTCACAACGTAGAACTTCGTACGTGCGTACATCAGTTCGAGTTGCCATACCACATCAGCACAAAGATGCAACTGTCTGTTCAAGTCCCGTAGTGGTAGAACTAGTAAGAGTATAAGCAGTAATCGGAAAGATTAGAGTCTGAAAATGTTATTCAGTGAGTATAATACAGTGAAACAAATTTGGAAAGAGAAAAAGAAATGGGACATAAAGACTACAGAAGATTAGAGTTTGGGAGAACACAAAGAGTGTATGCACCTGCGCCATTGCAAACGATTTTGAGCCATGTCATTCAGGGTCTCTAACCATCGGTTGCAATCGTCTCGTGGATCCCAACCAGGTAGTCTACACCTACCAACATGGCTCAGTCCACTTGTCAATGACTTCATGGACTTGTGTCATGTTTTATTCTGGCCGCTCCTAGCTTTCTCCTAACCCACTCCTACGCCATGTAAGAACGCACGTCGAGGTAGTCGGTGGTTGGGCGCACGTAACACGTGTCCCAGCCATCTCAACTGATGAAGTTTCACTATGTCATCAATTGATTTGCTATCCTTACCTAATACCCGTTTTCTAACAACTGCGTTACTTATCCGGTGGTCAGAGGATATACGAGCAATGTTTCAAAGACACCGATGATCAAATATTTATAACTTACGAGTATCCTCTACTCTTACCGGCCATGTTTCACTGCCATAAGGTAGGATGGAACGAACTGCTGTGCAGTAAACACGTCATTTGGTTGATAGACTGATATCTTGCCTACACCATAAATGACGCAAGTTGGTAAAAGCCAGTCGAGCCTTCTGTATCCGTGCTGAGATTTCGTCACACATCAGACCACAAGGGCTAATGAGACTTCCAAGATCAGTGGAGCGATCGACACGCTCAACAACTTCACGCCCTATCATTAGTTTGGGTGTCGATGCAACCCAATCCTGAAGCAACATTCTGCATTTCGAGGTGGGAGAATCGCATCCGAACATGCTTGCATTGTTGTTCAGAGTGATCGGAAGACTCTGCATTTTGTTAGCGTCTTCACCAAATAGAACTATGTCATCGGCATCTTCTAGGTCAAAAAGTGAATCTCTCGGTGAAAATTAAGGTCCTGGAAATTTGAACGTGGTGTGATCTTCAGCTTTCTTCTTTTCCGTTTCTTTTCATGCTTCCAAGTAAGAGCTTGCGTTGTGATGCAATTTGATTGTTCTCGCGATGTATGTCCTACCCAATTCAAACATCTTTTCTTAATTTCCTCTTCAGATGGAAGCTGGTTCGTCCTCTCCCACAGTTGGCTGTTGCTGATGATGTCCAACCTACGGGCATTGAGTGTCTTATGTAGACAACTGTTTAGAAAGACTTGTGCCTTTTTATTGCTTGTTTTAGTAGTTCCCCGAGTTTCAACTTCGTACAGTTAAACTGTTTTTGTGTTCGTATTGAGGATTATGACTTTGATATTGATTGACAGTCGTTTTGCGTTCTATACGTTATCCAACTTTAGGAATGCTTTCTTTGCTTTGCCGATCTTCGCCTTTAAGTCCGCATCAAATCCTCTTTGTTCATCGATGATGCTACCCAGATACTTGGAAGTTTCTACCTCTTCCCGAGTTTCTCCATCAAGTGTGATTGGGTTGGTGTTCTTCGTGATGTGTTTGATTATCGTGCTTTTCCCTTGTGTACGTTGAGTTGTACTGATGCAGAGGTTTCTGCTACACTGGTTGCATTGACCTGCATTTGTTCGTATGTGTGGTATGTGTTATAGCGTTCGGTCTTCCTCGTCTGCACTAATGGGACGCTACTTTGCCTTAGATGAATATCTACACTAGATTCCCTCCCAGTGTTTGTTTTACAGGACTTCAGCACAACTCAGATCAAGAACACGTGACTAGAACGTAAGTATATTTCTACACCATAAGCCGACAGCAATGCAGTAATGATACGGGCAGGAGAATATATAACTCATCTAACACGTGCCAGAATATCTACTGGTCTGACTAAGCAAATAACCAATTATTAGCTTCCTCGCACATGCATCAGTATAGAGGAGTCAGGTCATCTGCGAAGTCCAAATCTTCTAATTGATTCTGAGTTGTCCGTTGTATTCCGCGCCTCCCCTCAGATATCGAGGTCTTCATAATCCAGTCAACCACCAGAAAAGGGAGGAAGGAAGCAGCCTTATCTGACTCCGGTCCTTCTACATTTTAGTCCGTCGTATGTACTCCTCATGATGTTTAGAATCTCAGATACACCATAGTGTCGAAGAAGTTTCCATAATGTTCTCCTATCCACACTATCAAACACCTACTCATAGTCAATGAAGTTGATGTATAGTGACGTGTTCCATTCAGCTGATTGTTCGATGATGATTCGTAGTGTTGCGATTGGGTCTGTGCACGACCGATCCTTTCGGAATTTAGCCTGATAACCTCGAAGTTGGGTGTCTACTGAGTCTTTCGTTCGGTTCAACAACACTGTCGAAATCTTTTCCTGGTACTGATAACTGTGTGTGTGTTGGTGGTGGCGTGAGTGACTAGATCATTTTGTGTATCGTGAAAGGCTGAGCGGCCTATGCAATTCTGAGCTACTTTAGCGTTGTTATGATAAGATTTTGGCTGTATAAGGTTGGGTGTACAACGCATCGGTGAGAGCAGGTTTGCTCTATGGTAGTGAGACTTCGTCTTTTGAGGTCGAGAATGTTCGTCAGTTCTGTTTATTTGGTCATCATAGTTTCCTAAGAATTACTGATATTTAGTAGTTACTCGTTCGTTGCTGAAAGCTACGACTTCTAATGGTAATCGAAAACACTTATACTACTGTTTCAAAGTTTCTATTTATCTCATTGGTATTGAATTAAGCAATATTCATTATTTCGCTTTAACTAAAATTTCTGTAGATGATTTTTATTTTACAAATGATATTAGTCTACAATATATTCTAATAACTCATCCAATCTTATTTCCCTCTTCATATTTCGTGTTTTTTTCTTTTCTTCACAGAATTAGAATGGCATTTAGCCAAACTAGGCGTATTAGAGTCGAAATTAACTAAAGATCCATCGAAAAGAATGAATATTAAACTGGCTCATAGTAATCGTATCAAACATATAGGTGGTGAATTGTCTGATGACGATGACGAGGATCATGAGACTGACGATGATGATAATTAAAGATAATTTCCAATAGAGCAATTGATATGATTTTCTTGGCTCATGCTCAAAATCTTGCAGTCTTCTTTCCTTTTCGCGCCAAAATACTATTTGTATGTGTATACTAAGTTATTGTTTTTCAACTAATCTTTCTATGTTTCCTACATATATTGGGGTTTTCAATTTTAACAAATTATGGATTAAATTCATTCTGCCTTTAAATTATTTTGCTTATATTGAATTGAAGTGCTTCGAATAATTATAATAGCATTCTAATCTTTCTGTTACTATTATGAACTATTGGTTGGTCTCCTTTTGCACATGTGACGCCTGAGCAGATAACCTCGATATCGACATAAAGTCACAAGTATTTTTAGCAGAGTTGAGTAGTGTATATCAGCGGGATTCAGGGTACGTGTTTCACTTTATACATGACTGTGCAAGTTTCCTTGTTAAATTTGTTCATTAGAAAACACACTAATTAACCAATCATAATGAAGAAGCCATTTAAGTTTATCTAAGCGATAGTAAAGAATAATGCGATATAAAGAAACATTTGATACATGGAAAATCGGATAGAAAATGCACATTATTTTCGAAAATGGATGAATCCACACGCCTTTATTAGTCCTATGGCATTATGGAATATAGAGACTTATGACACGATTTTGGTCGTCTCTCTGTTTCAGACTGATACCGATGCTCAAGACCCCAATCCGCTACTGAGTGATGAAGAGAGCTTATTGGGCTAAACCGACTAATACGTATAAGTGGTTATATTCCTTGGAAGACGAAACAGTTTCTTGGCCAATTAAATCCACTTGTTATTAAGTTTTTGACTCGCACAAGGTGGGCTTATTGGCGAATCGAAATTCATCCACCGTATGGCTACGTTGTGGAACTCAGTAACAGGTATTTCTTGAATTATTGCTATATCTAGATCTTGGATTCTTGATATATCGCGTACTACATGAATAGCTGAACGCTAGAACCCTCCAAGTCACAAATGAGGTTAAATGTTATTTCAGTGTCCAATATGGCACAGAACTCTCAGGTATTTATAGTTTTAAATAAAAGCGAGATCATCATTGTAGCCATACAATCGGCATACAGTGGTTTTTAGCATTTTCTCAATAGGGCGGTTACACGTTGAGATTCTGGGATGTTCCTACACAAGATGATTGGATAGAATATCTTTGGCTCTTTAGAAGCTTCCTCGAGTCAACCCGTGGGTCGTCCTCACAATTACCTTATTTGACACGTAATGTTACTACCTTAGTGGAAACGGACACGTCATCAACTGTTTTAACCTCTTTCACTTACTATTCTATATCTAGTCCAACTCTAAGCACAAATCATACTTGGAAAGAAATAATGATCAAACAGGTACCAATATCAAGATTGGACTTGACATTTTCAAATAAAGTGAGGATTGATGAGACGGTTCGTTATATTTTTTTCTACTCATTGTGATATCACAAAAACGTAATGATTACTTGTGATCAAGTAGCTATATTACTGGACTTTTGTATTTATTTACAGCCTAGACTTTCCGTATGACGAGCAGATAAAATTGTTTTAGTTTTCTATTTGAGATGTTGATCATCTGGAATATCACTTATGAATAAGTGTTACAGGTATTGTATGAACCCAACGTCGCCATATTTTGTGTAGTGTATGTTGTTTATGATACCCAGTTGTATCACAGTTATGCAAATTCAGTGAGTCGATAGCTTATTAAAATCACTTTTTAATGTTTCAATAAAAGAGAAAATTTTCAGCCACGCAGCCTTATCAATGGTTTACGCACCTTGAAGCATCAGAAGCGATACATAATCATAATAAATATAATAATATATGCTTAAAATAAATGGTTTTGCAAGTCTCAAATGTTTTATGCTGGTCTCATCGGTTTTAACGGAGACATCATAGCTGAAGGCGCTCGTTCACACATCCGCACTAAATCACAAGTAGATACGCTGTACTACGCATCCCCAACACTCGCTAATCATCTAAGATCAAACGCTAAAATTAATTTTTCTCGATGGAGGATGGAATACAATGTGATGAATGTAAAAGGTGGTTACACAAGATTTTTGCAAGCTTAGGTCTTACCGCATGCGAAATACCCTTGACTACTAACTCCGATTAGGTTTGTATATTTTGCCGCTCGTGTAAGACGTTACTGATCCGGGAGGCGATGAGACTTCTAGGGTTGTCAAGCAAGAAAGATAATAGTGGCTGCACTTACAACTGTGAAGAACGTGTTGGTGTAGCACATGCTGTTATGAGTGGAGCCAAACATCCAACTTTGAAACATGAAAAAGAGAAATATGTTTTGAAACATACAAAGTGTGATATTACACTGAATATTGATGGTAACGATTTTAAGGTAGGAATTGAATATCTGGGTATGAATGTCGGAGCTCTAAATAGTTGCAGTGTAGCTGTCGCAAATAATGAAATGGACAGTGTGGAAACAAAGAAGAGGATGAAAAAGGCCTCAAACGGCGCAGTTTGGTCGATATTTTTTAGATAGTCCTTTATCCCGAGTGATAGAATACTCCACTAAATTCCGAAAATAAGACTATATTTAGCCATGAAATGACTGGAAGAAGCCCAATCTCATTGAATATTATTGTAGTAAGTTGCTATAACCAAACGATCCTGATGTCTTTACTCGTAAGATATTACCAGATAATTCTGCAGGAGTTCATGTCAACAACTTGATAAGACCAGGTGAGGAGGCTCCCAAGAATTTGAACCCGACCATATTGACTTCTTAAGATAACAATTTAGTCGGTGGAACAAATAAGTTTTTTCTTAAATATTACCCGGTGTCACAATAACATCAGCACTCGTGTAACACCGAACATTTCTCTAGATTGAGGATGTGAAGGAAAGGGGCGCTAGGTAAACTAGAAACGCGAAGAAATACAAGTGAAAAATTCTGCTTAGTATGCTATTGGATAGTCACGCCCTGAAAGCAAATGTTACGTAGGCCTTATGGATAGGATGTTTACTTTGGGAGTATCATATACAGATGCTCGTAGTTTAGAGAATATATTCCATTACGTGGAAGCATGAGTGTTCTGTGCTGTTGGGCAAGCCTCGTCATGTCAAAAGAAGAAATTAAAGTAGCGGTGAACATGGGTTTTCTTTTGATCGTGGAGCAGGACAAATGGGGCTCGAAGTTATCCCTTTGAAACACAACGTTTTCAACACCTAAGATGAAGTAATAGGAAATATGATGCCAATGCTAAATGGGGAATTGAGTGAGCACTTGAGCTATAATGTTCTGCTATTGCTAGGATGTATGCGGCCAACTCTTTGCTGAACAGAACAATCAGGCCTCTACTTTGTCGGGACAGAATGGCATCAGTGGACAGGTGGGGGTGTAAGATTCTTAATCTCATACAGTTTATGTTTTCTGTATTATTGAGGATAGCAATTGAAAAAATTCGACAAGATAAAAGTATTATCCCTGAAAAAAAACGAAAACTTAGAAATAATGCTTGTTAAAATAATGAACAGACGCTCACTTTAGTGTTTGGTGAACCAGATCACATCAGGCTTACTACTGAAGATGCCATTGATAACCAATGTTTGACGACTCTTTTGTCCGTAACGCTTTTATTACTATATAATACCTACCTAGCCAAGTCATACGTCGACAATGGAGTTCGAAGCTATTTTTGGAAAGTTATAGACACGTCGAGAAACGTCTGGTCTAAGCTAGTTAGTAACTGCTAGTGATGCGTAGCATGGGATTCCCACTCGTGATCTTGTGCAGACGCGAGACCGGGCGCCTACAGCTAGGGTATGTCCAGCAAAACTGGTGAGGTTAGCACCAATGTTGAAGAATTACATAACCGTTTGTTTCATGGATTTATTCGCCTCCATACTGAACAAGGAAAACAAAAACGGTAACAATTGTAATGAAATGAATATTAATGGTAAGCTCCTTCTTGGATAACAACTACAAATGATTAACAAGTGTTCCTCTGTGCGTGGTGGCAGCAAAGAACTGTCATGTATATAAATTCGATGGCTTTGTCGAATAGCAATCCGAGCAGAAGTTTCAACGTTGTTTAGAAACCTTAAAAGAATGAAATAAAACGTAATCATCAACTACAGTCTGTTTACATTAAGGCAGATCAGGTGGCTAAGACAGAGTTTGTTTGAATAGCGACAGTAGCATTGGCATTATTCAGTTAATAATTAATGTTAGTTTTAAAAGATGGGGAAAAATAATAAATATTGTTTATGAATGTAGTCACATGTACTAGATGAATTAGTGGTTTTATTTTTGTTGTTACAAAAACCATTGTTTATACATGTCTTGATAAACTTTTGTCTTATCGTAAGATCGTCACCTCGTCATTTTAAGCAATATTTCTCAAAGCTATCAAACTTCCAATGTCTCTTAACCACTATTTTATTCACTTCGCGCAATTTATAAGTTAGTGCGTCACTCTGGTAAGTATTTGGGCTTCAATGGTAATAATTAGGGATCTGTCGATTTAGATTGATCCTTGCAGTTTATAACACTGTGGGGGTTCAATCGTGGTTTGAATATATCAAAAGAAGTTGCGGTCAATCTGCGGTAGGATAACGGAAATATGTTATGGTGTCTCATTCTGTCTTCATATGAAGATAGGCCAGAAAGACTTTACTATTTTAGTCCTCGTCGTTGGACTCATTCCAACATATCCGCCCCATACTTGAAACAAGAACTCGCTGCTTGAACCCCATATCCTAAATGCGGCCTCACAATAGTCGGGTACAATAATCTAAACATTTATTCATCCATATATTGAAAAGGTCTACAAATAACACATAGTACCCAAAAGCCTTTTACAAAGCATTCTTACAGTTACCAGTAGTTTTGAGTTCACTGCTTTTTATGACTTTTAGGTCTCATAGTTTTTTTACTTCGGGTAACATGAATCCGCATATTGTGTAGTGATGTGAATCATCATAGGTATTGAAATGTATCACCACACTCTTGTTAAGATTCACTTCTAGTGACCATTCGTCTACCCATGCCACCAGTGAGTTGAGATCATTCTGTAATACTATTCCATCTGACATATGGTGTATGGGTGTCCAAATCTTGATGTCATCGGCGAAGAGTAGGACGGATGACTTTGTTACAGTTGATAATTCATTAACATAGAGCAAAAAGAGAAGGGAACCGAGAATTGTACCTTAGGGAACTCTACTTCTTACACGCTCCTAAAATGGGAGAGTCCCATTTACCCTTTCCCTTTTGCCTCCTGTCATGAAGAAAGTCATTTATCTAGTCTATGACTCTACAATGGATTTCAAAACTTCCAGCGTTAATTTAAGATCAGAATGGAAGACCTTATCAAAGGCTTTACTAAGTCTATGAAAATCACATATACAGGAATATTTCGATCTTTTGCCACAACCCAATCTTTTCTTGCAATGGGATTTGTCAAACATGATTGGCCTTCCCGAAATTCATGTTACTCCCTAGATAAAAGATTATGCCCTTCCACATAATTTATAGCAGCCATCCGAATAATCTTTTCCATTAGTTTTACAGCTGCACTGGTTAGACTAAACGGTCGATAGTTACTAATTAATTTTCTACTCCTCGCCTTATACACCGGATTAATTATTGCTTCTTCTCAGTCTCAGCAATTACATCCTATAGGGCTTTCATAATCCTAGGATGAATATCGTCAAAATCACTGGACTTATCTGATTTGAGATGAAGTAATCTTAAGACCATTCCTTTCACAATAACTACGGGATCCGTCGACAAGCGTCGTTGTTCATTCCTCATTGCTAGTCTAAAACACTACTGAAATATGTTGATAAAGTTTCAGCTTTTTGGCATAATCTCTTGCCAGTGTCAATAGATTTTCTTCTACCAAAAATGGTAAAATTCAATCATTTCTCTGAGTTTGCCACTTTATATACGATAATAAACTTCACGGACTATTTTTACAATCCCTAGTCAGTTGTTCTTCATATAACTGTTTTCTCTTCCTTATCAACGCATTACAAGCATTCCTAGTCTTACAATAACTACATCTATACTGTTGTAAACCTGTAGAGATCAGCATGTCCCAATGCTTTTTCTCCCATGTCCATGAAGTTTCTCGACCTGTTTAGTTATCCATGGTGGACAGTTATTTGGTCTACGTGGTAGTAAGCATAGTATAAACAAGAACGTAACTGAATTAAGCTTACCTTTAAGAATAGACCATGATTTTTCGACCGATGAGTTAGTATCTAATGACCAGTCTGTTTTTTCCACCGCACTCGTGAATGGTTGATATGTTTGCTCTCCATACATTTGGGTGAGCTTTAAACTGATCGTATATTGAGTCACAAGCTCTAAACATTAATGAAAAAATAGCGTGATCGCTACTTGTTAATGGTGGAACTACATTTAGATTGGCGATATCTTCAGTCTTAGGAGTGATCACTAAGACTAACATAAAAAATCCTTGGTTTGAGTCAAAACCTGTGGGTTCGGATACATTCTGTACTTAAACATGCTCCATTACCGTTATCAGGAACCTACTATCAAAGGAGTTTACAGATCCTACGTTGGTCCTCTCAGTCCAACTAATGTCAGGTGCATTAAAATCTAATATCAGTCATATGATGTTTCCACTTCATAGCTGAAGTGCTCTAAAATAAAGTCATCAGCTAAACAGATTGGGCTACGATAGATGACAACGAGTACAAATGTACAACATTCGATAGTGAGTTCACAGCTAATGACTTTACAAGTTCCACTATCATGGAATTCACAATCAGAGGAGAGGATATTTATATTATCAAGTATGTATGCAAAGACCTCACACACTTCCTTGCATCTCTTCCTATCACTTCTTAGGTAGTGGTATCCGGATAGTTCTGGAGTAACGTCGAAGTCATGGACTAGTCAAATTTCCATCACAGTTACACTGAGTAGCTTTAATTTGTCCACTGATGCTCCTAGTCTTTTGAATTCATTTCTTAGACTACAAGCATTTTCATTTAAAACTCCTAGAGAAAGCGAGTTATCCATACAAACCTTGGTAGCATCCGCTTCCAAGTCCTGACTATTCTAAAACCCACTAAACAGAGATTTTCCTCATCACTTTATCGGCAGCTTTCTGGTTCAACTAGTGCCGTCTTTTTATTATATCTTTTAGAGATATATCAGGTCTTACTCGAATGTCGGTAATATTGTGACTTTGAACGCTATTTAGCAAAAGATCTCGTTGTTTTTCCGACCCTAGGATTACTTTAAGGGGTCTATATGGTTGGGGTTCAACATTTTCGTCGGTCCTCTTACCTGTTACTAATTTTTTGACTTAAACTCCTGTAGGATTATCTGGTAAGATGCTACGAATAACTGCACCAACCTTTCCTAAATCATGCGCGTGTCCAATTTTCGGATTGGGGTTTTTTATTATAGCAAATTACTTACAATAATATTCTGAGAATAAGCCTTTTCCATCCACGACGGGGGTGGAGTTCCGTCTTTCAGAATTTTGCAGTGTATTTTGTTACTCAGAATGAGAGTCTACCAGTTTCCTTTGAAAATAAATTCTCTAAACTTTCGACACATTATTTCTTCCTACAGTATTCTTTTATATATTAGGAACATTCAAAAATCAAGATTATGAAAAATTACTTAGGCACTGCATGAGGAACATGTTTTGTCTGATGATTCAAAGTAAAACTGAGTTACTGATCCTGACTTAGTACATATTAGGTGTAGTAACCACTAGAGTAACACGTAAAAATGATTCTTTCTTATTCTATAGTTCTGTTCGCTGTCATTCGTATTGTTGGTTGACAAATACCAAGTGAAGACTCATAAAATGAAAATGCTGTTGGTCACCTAGGGTAGCATTGTGGGTATGTTTCAGTCTGTCGAGAAATTTAATGCAACTTTCACTCCTAAATCTGTTTCTGCTTCAGTAATGGTATACTTTGTCAGTTAGTTCGATATTAGAAAATTAAGTAGTTGAGGGCATCATTCAGTTCATCTGCATTTGTATTAACAATGGACCTGCTTGATCAGTGGTTCAAACAATGTATAAACAAATGTGATTTATGTTAAACAAGCCACTTGTCTAACGTGCTGTTAAAAATTTCATTTCACGGTTTTCATGTCTCTTGCTGAACTACATCTTAGTCATAACGTAGGATGTGGTACGATATCATATTGGTTCACGTAGTCATATCCCATCATCTGCGAGAAGCTGGAAAAATCGTGATATCTATAATAATTAAGAACAAAAAATATAGGGATTACGGCTCGAAAATAATATAAGTCAAAATACGGAGACCATGAAATAATAGTATAACTGAAGGCTAAAGAGAAAATCGACTGAACAACTATAGGCTGCTGGAGCCGATTTCAAGTGGTGGCACTTAAGATCTCGGTCTGTATGGTAAACTAACGGTTTCATATCCTAGGTTGCAGTGCTTTTGTATTTTCGTTGCGAAAACAAGCCTATCGATTGCACAAATATCATCGTGACTTCCGGTTGTCAGATCTACAGGAAAATACGACGTCACTCTATGATTTCGTGCTCTCACAAATGATTCGTTAATTCAAACATCGTGCTGTTTTGTCCGAGCGTTCTTCATAAATATTAAAGTGAATCCAATGTATCATGATTTTGATGGAATTTTGTTCTCTGAGCTGGATGGTTTGGTCGTGGAGCTTTCATAGATCTTCTGAACGACATAATCAGCACAAAATTCAGATAGAAGTGAAGTGTTCGAATTCCTCCATGTGCGTTTCACAGCTTGTTCTGTATGGAGAAATTCGAACACTTCACTTCTATCTGAAGTTTGTGCTGATGGTGTCGTTCAGAAGAACGATGAAAGCTCCACGATCAAACCATCCAGCTCAGAGAACAAAACCCCATCAAATTCATCCACCTGAGCTACAAATCTTCTTCATCAACTCAGTATATTATGATTTCATTCCTTTGTAGACCAAGCCCCTTAGTGTGTTTGCTATTTTTATTTCGTCACAACTATTTTGTCGTCTTTTTACACACTTTGTAATGTTCCACTTAATGTTATAAGTAAATCTGATAAGTTTCAACAAGGTTACTTCACACTGGTCCACTCAGTTATTCTAGAGTCAACATGTATATGAAGACCAGAACTAAATGAATTTGGATGGAATTTTTCCATAAATATTATTTCTTGTTTTGTTGCTGGAAATTTTTATCAAAGGAATATCATCGATTTATTCCCAAAGAGAACCGTATTTATTTAGTCTTATTGTTAAGAGGCACTTACTACTTTTTAAATTTTCATACCTACAGATAACATGTCATCGGATGGCACCAAAAAGCCATCTGAAGATAACGAAAAGCTACCCGAGGACATCAAAAAGTCATCCTCGTCTAGGTGAGTTTTATTAACTGTTGAAATTAAATCTGCACAAAATTGGATTATACTATTCAAGTTACGTCCTACCATTATTTCTTCTACTCTTATCGTTTTTGTTCAATTTAATAATTTCATTCGTTTTATTTACTGTACGAAAGTGGAAACACATTACTATGTCTTCATTTTGTCAGTAGGGAGACTACCTTAGTGTTGCGTCATTCAGCTGCTTGATTCGGATTGTTGAATTTTTTGTGAGTTTATTGAAATACTCTAATCATGACCAGGTGAAATTAATTCATCGTCAAAGAAGCTAAATCAAACGGATGACCCTTAATTATTTATTTACTCTCTACTCTGTTAGTGAAATAACGCTCGGTTTTCTCTCTCACACAAATGGGACGCTAATTTAGGTTAGACGAATATCCATACTGGATACTCTCCTAGTGTCTATTATACAGGACGTCAACACAATTCAGATCAAAAGCACATGATCTGTCTGACTGGAATGTGAGTACATTCCTACGCCAATAACTGACAACAATCATAGTAATAATAAGGGTAGGAAAATATATAACTCAACTAATACCTGTCCGACTATCTACAGGTCTTACTAGGCAAACAATCATTAGTTCCATCGCCCTCACATCAGTTAGCCAGTAATTAAGTACAAGCGGGCATTTATCTGATCCAATTGTTAGACAGTGGTATTTGTACATTATCATTTGAAGATTCTCCCTACTTATAGTCATTCAATAGAACATCCATTTTTCTCCAGAGATGTTTGTAAAATTTTTCTGATGTTTGTGTACCAAATAAGGTCACTCTACTTCGGTGGTAGCACTACAAAAAATATTTATATTGACCATCTGTGTAGAATCATATGGATCACTTTCAAGTTTTCAATATAGTTTGCAAAGTGACTATCTTTGCTTAACGATCTGGTAGTTATCTTTTAATGGTCCAATATCTGACTGTATTTGGATGGTGTGAAGGATTGTTATCAAAATATACATATCATCAACCCTTTTATATTATTATCGACTTAACTCGCCTTAGTGAATAACGGAATTAACTAAGTCAAATATGAGAATGAAGTTTAAATGCGTATATTGCACACAATGGTTGATCTGAACAGACAATCAGAAAAACGGAGCGAAGAGGAGAGAGAAGCAAAATGTCTAGACCACTGAGCCGGAATCCAACAGTGTAAATGTCTAACTTCAACCAATCTACGAAATTGTGCGACCATCTTCCAATGTCTGAGGTAGACTCTTGTCTGTACCTGACACGGAGAGGCCGTGACCAGTGGAGCTAATACGTATAAGGTAGAGAAAGATATCTACCTCAGACAATGGAAGATGGTCGCGCAATTCCATAGATCGGTTGAAGTTAGACATTAACCGTTGGATGCCGGCTTAGTGGTCTAGAGGTTAACTGTTCTCGCGCGCGAGACCGAAGTTTCTGGGTTTGAACCCGCGAGAGAGGTCATCTAGTGCTTTCGGGTTCCCAGTGGTGCTCTAACATCAGCCGATTCATGATCTCAATCAAAAACTTAACAACCTCCACAATCCCATACTGATAAATACAATCTTAATTAGACTACTTTTTGTCTTCCTTTAAACCTGAAATTACTTTATACCTTTCTTTTTACAAAGTAATTTCGTCTTCTTGTATCACGTCCTTATATTAAATCTTTCTCTCATATATTACTACCATTAAAATAACTACTTCTATGAATTTGGTGTTCATCTAGTTGTGCTAATGAGGTATGGCAACTTGGACCGATGCATATATGTGCCTGTTCCTACGTTTTGGTGACTGACTAACTTAATTAGACCAAATTAGAAAACTAGTTTTATTGTAGAAGTCATGTTAGAGCGGAATTTCAATAAAAGTTAAAAATCAATATGAGCAGGTTTAAGAAAACTGGTTTGTTCAGGTCACAATTTTATTTGCCCTTTTACTAGATGTTTTATTGCCATTTTTGTGTGAATGCTGTTAATTTATATTCTAAAACTAGCAAAAATTATTTGATTGTAATTGTCTTCTTGTTTAGAGTCAATTTTATGATTCAAGAAGCTTCTAAACTTGAAGTTTCTGGCATTTCACAATTGTATAATTGTGTTCGACAACGTATGATGGATGTTGGTTTATTAGAGGATAATCGAAATCTTAGAAATACCATTGATGGCAAGTTTACAAATTATAAACATAAGTTGTATTTATTTCAAACTAATGTTAATCAGTTAACTAGTGGAATATATAATATCCAGTCAAAGTTTTCCACTGCATTCTGGAATTCCTTAGTAATATGCACATATCCTCTGTTGAGATTAGATGGTGGTTGGAGGTAGTCAACAGAAAACCCTGGACCCGGGTTTCATGCTACTTGGCACTCGTCAACAAGGTGTACCTGTAATCTTGAGGGAACTGGTACTCCCTGACAGATTCGGTCCCGTGTCGCCCAGCTTCACAGTCATAGACGTTACCACCAGGCTATCCGGGCCGCGACCGACCTCCTGTAGGACTGAGATGTAATCACAATTGATTGATCACTGGGTGGTCATCAATGTCATGTGTGTCAAGTCCTCTTAGTGCAGATCGAATGCTTTCGACCAAGGTGCCATGTGGCCATTAGTCTAGGTGACTCGACATTGCGTTCACTATATTGAGATAAGATGGTGGTTGGAGGTAGTCAACAGGAGACCACATTGCAACTTAGTTGATAGCATTCGATCTTCACTAAAAAGGACTTGATACACATGACATTGGTCACCACCCAGTGACCAATCAATTGTGACATATCCTCTATTATCGATATCCAATTCAGTTTTCCATCTTATATAAATCGTCTTGGTATTCACGAATTCCACGTATTGATTTAATTTTAAATTACATAATGAAAACAAACAAATTAGTTCGAAAGTCAGTGCACTGATTTCAAAGCCCTAATTTCAGTAAAATAGAATAAAAAACCTCTCAGTGCCTAATACTGAAACACAACAACTAAGAATAAAAGATATTCGTAGTTTACTAGTATTCGATCCTGGGTTTCTTCAAAGCATCACTTATGTATTTTGGTCCAACTCACTGCCTTCTCATGGCAGGAGTGTTGTTTGCGAAATCGAGAGGACGAAATGCGAATGTCCGACGCTTTAACCGGGTTGGTGGATACGGAGGATTCACTTAGGGGAGTTGGGAAACCCTGATTCCAAACCAATAATGCACATGGGCTTCAGAATCCTGGGGTAACAAATGGCGTATGAACCAATCGTTGGTCACCAGCTACCGTGGTTCTGCATCTCCTTACGATGCTCCACTGCCTTGTGGATGAGACATTTAGGTGGAAGGCTCCAGGTGTGGCTCCCTAAGAAAACCACCTGTTTCGGTCTGGTCACTCGGATAGCATCCCAGACCTCACATAAAATCGAGTGATTTATGTGGCGCATAAATCTATGGTTCCCCCTTGTACCAATATCTATATGTTTCAATAAATATATGAATATTAATAACTTCTGTAACTGAAAACATCCTTCCTGATTATATTTGGCTTAACGGAACCACCTTCCCCAGTATATACCACTCTCGTTCGCTAAATTCTATTTATTTACTCTCTTTTTCACTTATTATAGCTTTCCTTGTCTTCACACAATCTTATTGTGTGGCATATATATATATATATATATATATATCTTGGTGCTCATTTGTACCAATATTTATGTGCTCAAATAAGTAAATATTGATTGTCTTTGATAAATCTACCGAAAAGTATATCCTCCTACCTAATACTATCCAAAAAAGTTCTACTCATTATTTCTAAAAGCGAGAATTTGACACCATGAGTTTAGATGTGGTTGGTGGGTACGGAGCCTTCACTTAGAGAAATCGGAAAACCCTTATTCTAAATGAATAGTGTGTATTGGCTTCAGAGTCCTAAAGAAAGGAAGTGGCGTATTAACTGATTATCTAAAACTAGCAACAATGGCATGAAGTTTCTTGACGTTGCTCATCTGTCTTATAGATTAAACTATAAGGTCAAGAGCTTGGGCATTAACTATTTTGGTTGGGTGATCAGACAGTATTCCAGCCCATAAACATACAAAAGACACAAATCAATTCAATCATCCTAACGTATTATTTTGATTTTAATAGTGAAAACTTATAATATGTTTAAAAGGAATATTTTATCTATTCGTTCAATTTAATTACCGATTCTGTCATAGTCCATGTAAAACCTGTGTCACTGACACATTTTTTCTCTTGATTATTCTGTTAAAACTTGTGCCCTGTGTCTTAATAATGTATAAAGTAATGATATCGCCTCTATTAGAGAACAGTGATTTATCGACCGAACCAATGGTGTATAAAACATGTACTAGCAGTCTAGAGTCCTTATCAGTCCTGCTTCCTTCCTAGGCAAGCCTGTTAAGTACAGAACACCAATCGCAGCCTCTGTGATATGAATCATTTATTTCAAACATACTCGGTTTATATACCGACCAGAAAGACCACACCGTACCATAAAATAGGAAACAACATTTGTACAAGATTTAGCCAAATGGGATTGTGAATAAAGGGAGATAGTAATTAATAGACAGGGTATAACTCAAGAACGGTAAGTCCTCGCGCGCGAAGCCAGTAGGTCCTGGGTTCAAGCCCTGCGTGATGCGGGATCGTGGATGCGCACTGCTGAGGAGTCCCACAATAGAACGAAACAGCCGTCCAGTGCTTCCAGGTTTTCCATGGTGGTCTAGCTTCAATCGACTCATGATTTCAACCTGTGTAATAGTTTCTATTTCAAAATAAAACTCATAATAAGAGAGAAATGAATATGTATAGTTTAGTTATTTAACAATTATACAATAAAAGTATACGCATAGTTATTGGTGCATAAATGGATTCAAAGAGTTACCATTCATTATACTCATCAGGATATAACATAATCCTAATAAGAATTGAAAAGAAAAGATCAACTTAATTCTTTGATTAATGTCTAATTGAATAGATTTTATTGTTTACATAATATTCATGTAATTAAATTATATGTATGTTTTTTTAATAAAACAAAAACAAAATAATCATCAATCAGCTCCATGGTTAGATGATGAAGCTATTCAATTAAAATTATCTTATCAAGAAGCTATTACACTTTGGACAACATGGCCAACATCTTTATGCGCTGAAAGAATTAAATTAATACGTAAACAATTCAATGAGAAATTAATTGATTTACGTCAAAAATGGGAAGAGAAAATTAATAATTGTCGTATCATGGATCATAGAACTGCTGAAAAAGCTTTAAAATTAAATGCAACACAATATAAAGAATTATTATTATTTACATGTAAGTCAGTCATTGATTCAATGTATATTTATTGTTGGAATTTTGTTTGTTGGTGTTTTTTTTGTTGTTGTTTACAGATCCAGTTATTGTCTCTTTACTAAATGGTTTTACTTGTTCTGTCAAATGTGAATACATTAGTAATGTTGGTATTCAATTAGATATTAGTAGTAAATTTGTGGACATTTTCCGTATGTTATTAAGTGAAAGTCAGTTAGTCAGTCAGTAACAACGTAGAACTTCGTACGTACGTACATCAGTTCGAGTTGCCACACCACATTAGCATAGAGATGCAGTGGTCGATTCAAATCCCGTAGTAGTAGTAGTAGAGGTAATAAGAGTATAAGCAGTAATCAGGAAAATTAGTGTTTGGAGATGTTATTTAAAGAGTATGATACAGTGAAATAAATTTGGGAAGCGAAAAAAGAGAGACAAGGAGGAATAAGGAGATCAAAATTTGGGAGAACACAAAGAGTGTATGCACCTGCGCCATTGCAAACGATTTTGAGCCATGTCATTCAGGGTCTCTAACCATCGGTTGTTATCATCTCGTGGTCCCCAACCAGGTAGTCTACACCTACCAACATGACTCAGACCACTTGTCAGTGACTTCATGGGTTTGTGCCACGCTTTGGTCTGGCCGCCCCTAGCTTTCTTCCAACCTACTCCCATACCACTGAACATCGCACGTCGAAGCAGTCGGTCGTTGGGCATAGGTAACACGTGTCCCAGCCATCTCAACTGATGAAGTTTCACTATGTCATCAATTGATTTGCTATCCTTACCTAATACCCGTTTTCTAACAACTGCGTTACTTATCCGGTGGTCAGAGGATATACGAGCAATGTTTCAAAGACACCGATGATCAAATATTTATAACTTACGAGTATCCTCTACTCTTACCGGCCATGTTTCACTGCCATAAAGTAGGATGGAACGAACTGCTGTGCAGTAAACACGTCATTTGGTTGATAGACTGATATCTCGCCTACACCATAAATGACGCAAGTTGGTAAAAGCCAATCGAGCCTTCTGTATCCGTGCTGAGATTTCGTCACACATCAGACCACAAGGGCTGATGAGACTTCCAAGATAAGTGAAGCGGTCGGCACGCTCAACTACTTCAATCCCTATCATCGATGCAACCCAATCCTGAAGCAACATTTCGCATTTCGAGGTGGGAGAATCGCATGCCGAACATGCTTGCATTGTTGCTTAGAGTGAAAGTACCTTTAATTCTACGATTATACAAATTGTGTGCTTCAGCTGTGCAACATACACTTGAAATATATAATTTTTTAACCTAGAAAGTGTCGATTTTCCACGAAATACCTGCTCACAAATGACCTGATACGGTCGAGCGCGGGATAGTCAGCTCTCCCTCTCGAAATGCTCTCACATGACCATGTGCTTAAAACCACCACCAGGGAATTCCTAATGCCTAAATTCTCGTGGCGGGAGTGTTGTTTACGAAATTTAGAGGACTAAATGCGAATGTCTGACGCTTTAACCGGGTTGGTGGATACGGGGGATCTACTTAGTGGAGTTGGAAAACCCTGATTCCAAACCAATGGTGCTCATGGGCCCTATTATCCTGAAAGAACAAATGGCGTATGAATCATTTATTGGTCACCGGTTGCCATGAGACTGCATCTCCTTACGATGCTCCACTGTATTGTGGACCAGACGTTTTGCGTTGTTCTCCATCTATATCGGAAAGCTCTACAACTCGGAAGTGAAATACTATAGAACATTAATTTGGAATAAAATAAACTATTAGTTGTCTTTTCATGGTCTCGCCCAAGTATCTTTCATTGCCACTGGTTATCTTACGCCTGAATTATGGAGATGACTCAGTAGACTAAAGTTCAACCGCTAACTGAAGATCCTAATTTAGATCATGGTGTGTTTGAAGGTTCCCGCTATGAGAATGTCTCGTACTAAAAACAAAGAGCTGTCTTGAACTTCCTTGTTTACATTGGCTATCTATTTAACAGAATGGGTTTTGTGGAGATTTTTTTTAGAAATTTCAAAAGTTGCCGAGGAGTCCCATGCCGGGACGAAACGGCCGTCCAGTGCCTCCAGGTTTTCCATGGTGGTCTAGCTTCAATTGACTCATGATTTCAACTTGTGAAATATCTATTTAACATTTGTTTGTGATATAAATTATGAAACTCAATAATTTCCACCACCCCACCCAATAGACATAGACCATCACTGAATTAACAATCAATCATTTCGTGATCTTGATTACGTAATTTGTTTATTGATATAGTTACTTTCTCTGTTCAGCCTTTTTTCTTCTTGTTCCTTTATTATTGTTGTTGTATAATTGATCTATTCTAGCTGGTCAAGAACAACAACACCAACAAAATAATGCTCCACCATATTGTTCAATGCCTGCTTCCTCTTCAAACAAGAGATCCCATCACAATTATCATCCATATGATTTGAATCAAAATCATCATTATCATCGTCAACGTCATCATCATTATCAAGATTCTTTAAATATTCCACGGACTATGATGAAACAATCTGATCGTCAACCATTTAGTTATTATATTCCAAATGATGTCAATATGACACCTCAAGATAATCGACGTATTCATGGGGTAGCATATCAAAATTATTTCCATGGATCATAATACTGTTTATATATATATATATTCTATGTAAATAGTTTATTACCTATCTCGTAGTTTTTTTATATATTCTTATTCTTATTACTATTACTATTATTACTAACTTAATTTCAGCAATAAGCGTCACCTTCCTTTATGTGATTGTTACTTTATTGACAAGTGGTAATTGAGGAGAAGGGTGTAAAGTGCCTGATAAAATCATACCGCATAAAAAACAGATACTCTTAGTTAATTTGAACATTATTTTAACTATACAGTAAGTATATTGATAGTTTTCTGTATAATAAAAAAGTTATGTAATTCGATCATATTAAAATAGATCCAGGTTAAGACGGTTCAGGATCTACTGTTTGGTTGGTAGATAGAGTGAAGCAGTTGATAAAGTAGTGAATCCTTGTCTATTGAGTTGGTTGGGTTAGGTGGTTCGCATGCCTAACTATCTTCTGTTTCAACATGCAATATTTGTTAATGTAGAGGAAGGTTAAAAAGAAGCTAGGGATCACCAACCCAAGACTTGGCATTAGTCTATAAATTCGTTGAATGCTAATCTGAGCCATGTTGGCAGATGGGGACTAGCTAGTTTGGTGTTCTGCAATTATCCTGACAAATGGTTGGGGACATTAGATAACACAGCGTGCAACTGATCACAGTGCCACAGATGCGTCTACCGTCTGAATTTCCTCAAACTCTAGTTTTTAAAATTTCCTATTTTATTTCGTGAATTTGATCTTCTCGAATCAAATTGTCTTTGCCTGACGTTTTCGTGAATTCGAAATAGTTTAATCCTGTTAAGGCTAAGATTTCGACAAGAAGTCGAATTTAACGTACGCATAATGAAACTTCATTGTACTGTTATAGCAGATTATAGTATATTATAAAATATTTGTACAGTAAATGTACTAGTTATTCGTCACAACTGCCGCACATTGGCTCTTTATATGTCTATAGTGTAGTCTTGGTTTATTTGTAATTCTTACATATCTCAATTATTTGGTATTCTGACTTTCATTTTCATCTGTCTGAAATTTGGAGTAATTAATAATGAGGAATCGTTAGGATTACTTCTTCCTAAACTCCACCTGGAGCCCCTCTGGGGCTACTGCCGGTCCCAAGCCTGGATAAACGAGGAGAGTTGGGCATGGGGTTAGCGGCCTCATCCCGTAGAAAACTAACTCGCCAAAGAAACGCTAACCAGAAGAATTAAAATTGAAACTATCTATCTTAAGTTCACTTGATATTGTTTTACTTGAATCTTCCCATTGATGTTTTAGGACTGAAATTGATCAGTCTCTTATTGGCATATGTGCATACTGTGCGTATGCCTCAGTAGCTAAGTGGATAACGCGATGGCGTTTGAAGCGAACGGTACTGAGTTCGAGTCCCAGAGTGAACATCAACTCTGAGATGCAGGTACATCCAGCTGACGAGTCCCAAACAGGACGAAACGCGCGTCCTGGATTCCACTGCTAGCCACTATCCATCTTTGCTTATAATGCTTGTAAATTAAGGCAATATCGAGGCATACGCACAGTATGCACATATGCCAATAAGAGACTGATCAATTTCAGTCCTAAAACATCAATGGGAAGATTCAAGTAAAACAATATCAAGTGAATTAAACTTCAACCCATTGCACAAGCAAGTGGCTATCAGGACTCAGTAGCTAAGTGGATAACGCGATGGCGTTTGAAGCGAACGGTACTGACTTCGAGTCCCAGAGTGGACATCAACTCTGAGATGCAGGTACATCCAGCTGACGAGTCCCAAACAGGACGAAACGCGCGTCCTGGATTCCACTGCTAGCCACTATCCATCTTTGCTTATATCTATCTTAAGTTTTAAAATAAGATCGGTTAGAGAATGATCGGTTAAGTTGGAATCACCTACGTAATTAATCTTCACTTGGTCTATGTGTCTGATGAGAACTGAATGGTCATTCAAACCGAAAATTCTTTCCATCCAACTACTCATTATGAATTATGTGGGAGTTTAGTTTATGAGATATTTTGCAATATCTCATGAATGTATTTTCGTCTGCAATAAACATTAACTTTTAGCCTTTCTCATTATCATTGGTAGTACATTACTTCGTTCTCTTTTGCTGTTTATGTGGTTATTTCTTATCTCGCTATGCTAATATGGTATTGTAACGCATTTATATACTAGGCTCTACGTTCACTATGACTGACTCTCTGAAAATATAAGCTATTGAACCAGCACTAATGTATTAGTCTTGATTACTTGATGCGTATCTCCTAGAAATAAAAACTGTAGATTTGCTCACTAATATTCAACTATGTTTTAGGGTTTGAATAGAAGTATGAATACTGTCGATAAATCTGATGTGATAATCGTTCAGTTTAACATTTGTTTTGAATCAGTTATTTATTAGTTACTTCAGTATAACTTTCCACTGTGCTACGAAAATTACCAGTTAAAAGTCAGTCAGTCAACAACGTAGAACTTCGTACTTACGTACATCAGTCCGAGTTGCCATACCACATTAGCACAGAAATGCAGTTGTCGATTCAAATCCCGTAGTGGTAGAGGTAGTAAAAGTATAAGCAGTAATCGGAAAGATTAGGGTTTGAAGATGTTATTCAAGGAGTATAGTCCAGTGAAATAAATTTGCAAAGAGAAAAAAGGGACGAGGAGGATTCAGGAGATTAGAATTTGGGAGAACGCAAAGAATGAATGCACCTGCACCATTGCGAATGATTTTGAGCCATGTCATTCAAGGTCTCTAGCCATCGGTTGCTATCGTCTCGTGGATCCCAAACAAGGTAGTCTACACCTCCGAGCATAGCTCAGTCCACTTGTCAGTGACTTCATGGGTTTGTGCCATGTTTTAGTCTGGCCGCCCCCAGCTTTCTCCCAACCTACTCCTACACTATGGAACAACACACATCGAGGTAGTTGGTGATTGGGCACAGGTAATACGTGTCCCAGCAATCTCAACTGATGAAGTTTCACTATTTCCGTTGAAAACATGAACCTAAGCTAATTAAACTGGGATAAAATTCTGAAAATGCAATACATAACATTACAAAGAGATAATTGTATTTATAAAATAGTACCTGTTCTAACAGTTCAGTAATATTGCTGTATTAGCAACAAAATAATATACGTCAATACTGTTAATGGTCTGATATTATACATATATTCTTATTGTTTAACTATTCAGTAACTAGATTATGTTCATTCATATTCCTGCTATTGTAAGCTTCATTTTGACCTGTAGACAATTATGATATGATTCACTGTTCTTAAATTATGCCCAGTCAATTGTTTACAGTCTACAATTTTTGGCTTGATCTTGGACAAATTTTATTTCCTATTTTATAGTATGATGCAGTCTATTTGGCTGATATATAAACTAAGTATCATAATTGATTGATCACTGGGTGGTGATCAATGTCATGTGTGTCAAGTCCTTATTTAGTGCAGATTGAATGCTATCGACCATGTTGCAATGTGGCCACCAGTCTAGGTAACTCGACACTGCGTGCACTATATATTGAGATTAGATGGTGGTTGGAGATAGTCGACAGGGTTTCCTGTTTGAAATAAACGATTCATATCCTGGAGGCTGAGAATGGTATTCTGGACTCAACCGTCAGGGAAAAAGACCAAATAAGACGTTAGGTTGCTCATACCGGTCAATACGTTATTGGTGTAGCATAGTGCCAAGATTGTATAAGTCGTATTCTGATTGGTTACCTTATCACGTGATACTTAACGGACAAATATCATAAGAAATACAGTTTGTAATTCATAAATTCCAAAGATTTTACTTGTATTTGGTGGTTATTTGTCTTATTATTCAGAATTAATCATTAGATGCTTCCAGCACAATCGATTCTATTTTATACAAAAATTTGGAAGATGACTGTGGGATATCACGAATTGGTTGAAAGTAAAAAAACATGCTCACTTTGGAATACCTACTCAATTGTCTAAAGGATAAAGATTCACCTCAAGGTTTCCAGTTATGCGTTGAATCATCGATGAGAGGGTCTTTATTATACGCTGACGACGGAATTCTATACTAGAATATAATAGTTGTTAAATTTCTTCAGGAATTTTAGTTTATACATAACTAAGATCATTTCGTAATGTAAGCTATAATGATAAATTTAAGTGAGAATGTGATTGAAGTGTGAATACATTTTAAAATAATAATAATAATAAGCCGATTATATCTATCCACTAAGGTAAAACTTATTGATCACTATGTTAAACAAAAATATTGAGGTGCCTAGTTAAGTTAATCTGCCATTCTACTGAAATAGTTCGATTGTATTTGTAGTTAAAATTTTATAATATTCAATTTGCAATATGACCACTAGTCTAAATAATTAGGCAGCGCATGTAATATGCTGAGATGTTATACAGTTGACAAAAAGTTCGCAGAAAATATTCCTCGATTTGAGTTATGAAGCAGTGTGTTACTTGTCTGCAAGATGTACTTGTGATCTTGAGAGGGATTGATATTCCGTTTGTGATTTGAGGAAGTATTATAGCCTGACAGTTATAAAATTGCAAAAAGAATTCAGGATAACAGCATTTATTATTTATATAGGAAACGTGTATTGGCAGTGAAAGCAAGTGGACAAATGGAGTTCGAGAATATTGGGTGTGTGACAGTTATCCAGTGTAGACAATGGGAGATATTGCAGATTGTCTGAAGGTAGATATATCAGTTCAGTAGCTTGGAGGCCCATTGTTCGCGTGTCAGTCAGCTACGCCGTATGACCAGGCACATATATGCAACACTCATTAGCATACAAGATGAACAACATATTCATAGAAGTAGTCACTTCAATGGTAGTAATATATAAAAAAGATTGTGTATAAGGATATTAAACAGAGAATTACTTCGTAGAAAGATATAAACTAATTTTAATCTCACGGTCTAAGAGAAGACAAAGTGTATACACCGACGCCATTGTGATCGATTATGTACCATAACACATCGAGTCTTCAACCATTGGTTACCATAGTCACGCGGACCCCAACCAAGTTGTCTGCATCTACCAACATGGCTCAGACTAGAAGTCAGTGACTTCAAACACTGATCCTATGTTTTGGCCGCCCCTAACTTTCAACAATCCTAACACTAGTCAGCATTGCTCGTGGTGGTAAACGGTGTTCAGGCATACGTAATACGCGGCCCATTCATCTTAGTCTATGAAGATTTACAGCCTGATCAACTGATTTACCATCATTCCTTAATACCCTGCATCTAACCTCACTATTACTTACACGGTGATCCCAGCAGATGCGAGAAATATTTCTAAAGGCATCTGTAATCAAACACTAGTAACTCTTATAGGCCACATTTTGGAGCCGTAGAGTAAGACAGTACGGACTGCCGCGCAGTAGATAGATCGATCGACTACTGATTGTGCATTACGCAATTAGCGAAAACGATTTATTTACCCCCAAATGACTTGGTACGACCAAAAGTGGGGATAGTCCGCTCTCATATGGCCACGCATGCATAGCCTCTGCCATAGAAGTCCTACTAACTGCCTTCTCGTAGCGGGGTTTTTCACGAAATTGAGAGGACGAAATGCGAATGTGGACACAGAGAGATCACGTATGGGAGTTGGAGAACCCTGATTCCAAACCAATGGTACATATGGGCTTCAGGATCCTGGGGGAACAAATGGAGTATGAACCAATCGTTGGTCACCAGCTACCGTGGTTCTGCATCTCCTTACGATGCTCCAACGCCTTGTGGTTGAGACATTTAGGTGGAAGGTTCCGGGTGTGGCTCCCTAAGAAAACCACCTGTTTCGGTGTGGACACTCGGATAGCATCCCAGACCTCACATAAAATCGAGTGATTTATGTGGCGCATATATATCTGGTGCCCCCTTGTACTAGTATTTATGTGTTCAAATAAATAAATAAGAGAAAACATTCTCGAACTGCAAAACACACTGCTTATAACAAAGTTATTATCAACAATGCAAAATGGAATGAATCAGATTCACTTATGCATAATGATGATGACGATGAACGAAAGCACCTATGGATGCGCTCTCATACTGTATATCATAAACCAGTTCCACCTCAAATGCATCGCTTTAACGTTACATTTTGCTTCATATAATCTTAATAATTTAAAATAATGGTTACGAAACATCGTAAATTCAACGTTAATTTTCTACACAGAAGAGTATAATGACTGTGTTGTCGACATCTAACCTACCGTACTTTGTATGCTGTTATTGAAACACGTGTCGAACTTATTCAAACACCCTTTTTGGTCAATATTAAAGCAAGCAGTATTACCACTACACAAATGACGTTCGAATAACGACGGATCATTTTACCACGCAAAACGATTTATTTCTAATAAAAGATGAATATTTTTTTGAATTTCATTCGGGAAAACATCAACGATTTCATGTGAAATTACTACAGTTCAACACTTAATTTATTAAAATCACGAATAGGATCATTTCGATTTTTCTTACTATATTTTTTAAACGTAGAAATGCAAAATGAATAAAATTTCATGTTCATATTTCATTGAACTGACAATGTCTTCACAAAGTGAGAAAACAATATATTTTTCGGATAACAAAGAGAAGAATTATAACACAAGAAGAAAACGCCAGCAAAAAACAATGAGATTTTATGCCATATACAATGCATTTGTATGTATGTGTATGAATATTGATCCAAATGATATAAGACACTAAGTCAACGTCGTGATCGATAACGATTTGATGAGGAACGATCTCTACGTCCAGTAGATCGAGAACGATGTCTTTGGTTTAATGAACGTGAACGACGTCGATCGCTGTCACGAGAATGTGGCATGGAATCCTTGTCTTTGACACGAGAACCTTCGGGAAAACTATTCTTAATGCTACTACGATGGTTTGGAGAACTATGACGATTGCTGGATGAACGTCTACGATGTTCCGAACGATGATGTTGTGTCCCCATATGGTTCTTCTTATAGGCTGCCAATGCTTCACCTACAACAGATGAATCACCAGATGACGTTAAGCTCGGTCGACTCTGTTTTGAAGGAATCACTTCTTTATCATCGCTATCCGTCTTTGAGTAACGGCGTTTTCGTGTATGTGTAGATGGAGACTAGATAATGAAAAATAGTGTAAATTTTAAGATGAGTTAGCAAATCTTTTAAAAGCATTCACAACAATGTTTTCACAATAGGATAAATAATCAGGAAATATTAGCGAAGATGAAACTGTTAGGGATGCAGCGGAATATACCAATCATTATCATGTTAAGTCTAATGATGTCCTTGGACTTTAAATGGACATTCCCTACCGGCCATTATTTATTTCACTTGTTAAATATTGTGTAAATGTTGTTTTCTATTTTATGGTACGATGTGGTCTGCTTGATTAGTATATAAACAGACTGTGTTTGAAATATAATGATTCATATCTCAGAGGCTAAGACTTGCGTTCTGGACTCAACTGGCTGGGCTAGACAGGGAAGCGGGACCAGTCAGAACCCTAGGCCGTTCTTACGTGTTTTACGTATCACTGAATCGATCGATAAATACGCTACGCATCTAACCTGCAGTCCACCCGTTACAACAGAAACAATAATGGTTCATGGCATTTTATCAACGCTTAAATGAAACCTGAAAGCTTAGATGGTCATAAACTTGTCTCTGTACGATATTCATTGATAAGTTTTTAAGCTAGAAGTTCGCAATAAGTGTGTGGAGACTAACGTCCGAATAAATCGACCCACGTTCCAGGAGGTGGTTACTACGACAACAGAAAGGACAAACAGTCAAGATGAAAGTTGTGGATGATAAATAACACGTAAGCTATTGTAAACAAAGAGAAAATTGTTAATATTTTTTTTAAAAATAACTCCGCCTGGAGTTCCTTCGAGGGCTACTGCCGGTCCCAAGCCCGGATAAAGGAGGAGGGTTGGACATGGGGTTAGCGACCCCATCCCGTAGAAAACTAACTCGCTAAAAAACGCTAACCAGAAAAAATTATTCAAACCTTTTAAACTTTGCCCTGGGAGTCAGAAAGTCTTTATTTAGAAGAGTTATGACGCCTCATGATGACAGCCGAGTTCCTTTGGAAGTCACGAGGCCGTTGCCTCTTCTGACAACCAGAGCGACCATTTATTTAGGTTCATGGAATGCTCGTACAAATGTTACTTTTAAAATGTTTTAAATCAATGAAAATACGGTACAACGATTAAGTGAATTTTAGATGGTCCTTAGGCTAAACTGAACGACATACTTTTTTCTCGAGCAAATTGTGGGTCAGAGCAATTAATAATAGACAGCTGCATTTTCCTAGCATGAGGCTCGTCAGGACTTCAACAGTGGAGCTGCAATCCAGGATGTTCAGTTACACACGCGAACAGTTCCCAATATACTAGAAGGGGTCAAAACCATCCTGCGATAACCATAGAGGTATTATTTTGACTAATATAGCATCTAAAATACTAGCCTCAATAATTATCGGACGCCTATCAAAGACTCGTGAACTGCAAACACGAGAAAATCAGGCTGGTTTCAGACCTGATCGTGGCTGCATCAACCACTGTTAATGGTTTTACAACTGGACAGTTCTTCCTGACTGGCTGATCAGTCAACCAAGGCCCCCAAATGCTCTGGTACGGCCGAGAGTGGGGAGAGTCCGCCCTCCCTCTCGAAATACTCTCACACGGCCACGCGTATACAGCCTCTGCCAGGGAAGTCCTACTCATTGCCTTCTCGTGGCGGGGGTGTTGTTTACGAAAATGAGAGGACGAAAAGCGAATGTCCGGCGCTTTAACCGGATTCCAAACCAATGGTGCACATGGGCTCCAGTATCCTGAGGGAACAAATGGCGTATGAACCAATCGTTGGTCACCGGCTACCATGGGATTGCATCTCCTTACGATGCTCCACTGCCTTGTGGGTTAGACCTTTAGGTCGAAGGCTCGGGGTGTGGCCCCCTAAGATAACCACCTGCTTCGGTTTGGGCACCCGGGCAGTATCACAGCCCACACGCAAATAATGAACTCTTTATGTCTATGGAATATACTTTTCTCGCTTCGAAAAACAGTCAATTGATTCAAATTATTATCATTATTAATACTATTATTATTATCATCATTATTATTGTTATTATTATTATTATTAATATTATTATTATTTTCCACATTATTCACCCTCTTTTATACTTATACAGCGGCTCGTCTTTGGTGGAAATTCGACTGTATCTAAACGTTCTCGAGTCACTGTCCGGTTGAAAATTGTATGCTACCACCGAATACGAGAACTGAAACAGTTTTTCTGAAACCACGTGCACCATTCAAACTGGCTGCCTTCAACGTTCGCACATTTATACAGGTCGGACAACAGATAGGGCTGGCTATGTCTTTGGAAAGTCTTAATATTGATGTTTTTTGTCTATCCGAGACCCGTATTCAAGACTCTGGCGAAGTACTACAAATTCGATCTTCATCTGTCGCTTCGAAAAGCTTGTTTTACGTGCGCTTATCCGGGGACCCTGTGGCACCTTCGTCCGGTCTTGCTGGCGTTAGTGTCGCACTAAGCGCTAGAGCTGAGGCAGCACTAGTCGATTGGATCCCCATTAACAGTCGGTTATGTGCTGTTAGATTAGAAAGTTCCATCTGTTCTTCTCCAGAAAGTGCGTTCGACAGATATTGTAGTACTAGCCGGAGACTTGAATGCTCAGGTCGGGCGTCTAGGCACAGAAGAGAGTCGTTTAGGTGGCCGATGGGGACTCGTTGGTCGCAGGTCAGATAACGGGGACCGTCTACTGCAACTTTGCACAGACCACAACCTGTTTCTGGCTAGCACTAACTTTCGGCACAGTCATCGCCGATGTGCCACCTGGCGTCCTCCCTCTGCATCTCAAGCCTGGACTCAGATTGATCACATCGCGATCAGCTACCGCTGGCGTGGTTGTGTACAAGACTGCCGCTCCTTTTGGAGTACCTATCTGGACTCTGACCATGCCTTGGTCTGCGCCAATCTTGCCTTACTTTTCAGTGGACAACGAAGTGACCGCCATCAACGGATTGATGTTAGCAAGCTGGTTGCAACTTCTGTTGCAAGTAAGTATCGAACCGAGCTAGCCTCTAGGCTAGCTACCACTCCACCGAAAAGTATAGATGAGCATTGGTTGCAATTGCATGACGCCATGAAAATGGCGGGAACAGTCAGTTGTGGGTTTGCGAAACGTCCCGCTTTTAAGCACTGGGTTTCTTCTGGTTCCTTACAACTCATTGAAGCCCGTCGGTCTACTCCGGGTGACCGTGAGTTTGACCATAAACGAAGGATGTTACGTAAGGAAATTGGGCAAAGCTTGCGTAAGGACCGAGAAGCCTGGTGGTCGATGCGTGCTAATGAGCTGGAAGCAGCAGCTGCATCTGGTAACTACCGGAAGCTCTTCCAGCTCATCCGAGCCACTGGCAGCAAGAAGTCTGGTGTGAGTGAAACAATCTGCGAGGATGATGGGATGCCAATCACTAACATCCATCGACGTCTTGGACGATGGGCAGAATTTTTCGAAGGGCAGTTCAACTGGCCTGCTGCTCCGGCAACATCGGTCAGACTGTCCTGCCCTCCATGGCCGGTGACGACTGATCCACCAAACGAGGAGGAAGTCCGCAAGGAACTCCAACTCTTGAAGCGTTACAAATCACCTGGCCCAGATGACTTACCTCCGGCTCTTTTTAAAGATGGTGGTGACTTTTTGACTAAGGAATTGACGACGTTGTTTACAAAGGTTTGGGAACTAGAGAGTGTACCAACGTCATGGAATGAGTCGATAGTTGTCCCTATCTTTAAAAAGGGTTCACGTCGTTCTTGTAACAACTATCGGGGGATAAGTCTACTTCCGATTGCGTCCAAGCTATTGGCTTCCGTCATACTTCGTAGGTTGTTCAAAACCCGAGAAAGATTGACTCGCGAGGAGCAGGCTGGGTTTCGTTCTGGTCGAGGATGTATTGATCATATCTTCACCCTCCGCCAAATGTTAGAACACCGCCATACTTTTCAAAGGCCAACAATCGTAGTGTTTCTTGACATCAGGGCTGCCTTCGATTCGTTGGACAGGACTGTTCTCTGGGATTGTCTATTGAAGAAGGGTGTGCCTGAGAAGTTTATTAACATCCTAAAAGCCCTATATAAAAACACCTCAGGCAGAGTGAGGGCATACAACCACCTCTCTCCATTGTTCCATTCGAGCAGTGGGGTTAGGCAGGGTTGCCCAATCTCACCATTCCTCTTCAACTTTGCCATCGATGACATTCTGGAAACAGCTCTGATGAATGTAAGTAATGGTGGTGTGGATCTGTTGCCTGGAGAAAGACTTCTCGACCTTGAGTATGCGGACGATATTGTCTTACTGTGCGATAATGCCCAAGGCATGCAATCCGCACTTAATCAGTTGGCAATCAGTGTCCGTAGGTATGGTATGTGCTTTGCACCTTCGAAGTGCAAAGTACTTCTACAAGACTGGCAGGATTCTAATCCTGTACTCACCCTGGATGGTGAGCAGATAGACGTAGTTGAGAAGTTCGTGTATCTGGGTAGCTGCATAAGTGCTGGTGGGGGTGTGAGTGATGAGATCAATGCACGAATAGTGAAAGCCAGAGCGGCTTATGCCAATCTGGGCCACCTTTGGCGCCTTCGTGATGTTAGTCTGGCTGTAAAAGGTCGGATCTACAACGCGTCGGTGAGAGCAGTTTTGCTCTATGCTTGTGAAACCTGGCCTCTCCGAGTTGAGGACGTTAGACGACTCTCTGTGTTCGATCATCGCTGTCTCCGAAGGATTGCTGACATTCAGTGGCAACACCATGTCAGTAATGCAGAGGTTCGGCATCGTGTGTTCGGGCACAGAGATGATAATTCAATTGGTGTCACCATCTTGAAACACCGACTTCGGTGGCTTGGACATGTTCTCCGAATGTCGTCCCAGAGAATTCCACGTCGTGCATTATTTGCCGACTCTGGGACTGGTTGGAAGAAGCGGAGAGGTGGTCAGTGCATGACATGGTGTCGTGGCATGAAAGAAAGCTGCAAAGGACTGGCTTGTGTTGGTCCTTCACGACTCCCTGGTTGGGGTCCGAGAGATGGTGCTACACAGTGGCTAGAGACGTTATCAGATATGGCTCAGAATAGAAGCCAGTGGCGATCCTGCTGTAACCTTCTTTTACTTTCTTCATAAAAAGTGGTTGTGTCTCCTTACCTGAAAGATTTCTTCTGATTGTACCTTTCCGTTCCCTCGTTACTACCACACTACCTTACACCAATCTCTTCGTTATTGTTCTCTTTTTTTTGCGCTCCTTAGTTTTTTTTTTCTTTCTTTCTATTTCTCTTCGAATTCCATTGTTTTGTGTGGCGCATATATATTGGCGCTCTCTTGTACCAATATTCATGTGTTCAAATAAATAAATAAATAAATAAATAAACAACCAAGGTCGTCAGTATATAATACTTTTCTAATCAGGAAATATTTATGTACACAGCAGTGTGCATAAATCAATAGACATACACCCTGAGATTTTCGAAGCACAGGTTGTGAAATCAATTCTAGTTTAAACATAACATTGACAGTATAAACAAGTAAACTCACTAATTCTTTTTTGCGACTATTGTCAGATGGTTTATCAATTTTCGACAAAGTAGGATTATTAGATGAAGTATCTTGTTTTGACAACCGACCTTGTTGTTTATTGTCGTCTGCTACGATTTCACGACTCTCACCTTTTGAATCTCTGGTAGATTTCGGTTTAGGTTCAGAAGCTGAATGTTTACTGTCATACAATACATTACCTGATACTGGTTTTTTTGTCGAATTATGCCTAACAATGTCACCACTCGACTTAGAGTTGGAGGACAACTTTGTATCTGGGATTTTTGGTCTAGAGCTACGATCTGTGGTTGGATTCCTGCGAGATTGATTGGGAATACAACTAGAAGGATAGGAAGGAGGAGAAGCCGAAGACGAGGAAGAATTAGCAAATGGACTACGGGTTGCTTTTTGTACTGGCTCTTCTGATGGATGTGAGGAATGTCGGCTTGTGATTTTTTTAGCATCCGATTTATCAGCAACCGATTTTTTTATTCGCCGACTAACCTAATCAATTTTCAAAGTAAAAAAAAACGAAACGATGAAACAAAATAACTTGATATTTTTAATGGGCTTTAAGAAACCATTGTGAATGATACCAGCGAAAACAGTAAGAAGTAGCACAGTGAAACATCAATTATATTCGAAACAGAGAGCATAACAAAATGTGTTGCTTATGTTGAATCGATTAGACTAAAGCGTGAGTGATTTGAATTTCAGTTCATCGAAGCATATGGAGTTATAAACTAATTGCTTAAAACTGGTGAAATAGTTATTGGTCGGATGCATCGAATCATTTTGTTGGAAATGATGTATCTTGGACCAACGACAACAACAGCTAATCCCGATTCGGACAACTAGACAGTAAGAAAACTTTCTTATCCTAATTCTAGCTACTCGAAAGCACAACCTCTCGTGGAAGTTTCGCATCCATAGAACGAAAGAAGAATAATTCAGGCAAACCATGTGAGTGAATAGAATGGTTATAACAGAGAACACGAAAAATAGGGAGAGTAGTCGACCAACAGTAAAAATGTCTACAACGGCGATAAAAATGGAGTGTGAATCTTGTAGAGAATGTTGATGTGAAACAAACCGAAATTACAAACTAAAAAATAAAAGTAAATAGTATGTTGTTCTCCATTAATCTAACAACTTTAACAGTAAACACTTGATGTCATTATCCTCTACATTTTTCTGGTATCCTCTACTTATCGTTTATGAACTGACAGTGATGTGACTCGCTAACCATATACTGGTTAGTGTACTTGATTTCGAAAATTACGTTTATCATCCCATCTCTCCTAAGCAAAAATATCTGGAACTATGTGTTTGTACATGTCAAGGTATGACTGAAGGTTAAGTGGATAAATTATGAAAGAATAGTGAAATGTTGTTACATGATTTTACAGTGTACTGATTTATTTCCTACATGTTCTTCTAGCATGGCTCAATTTTATAGGGAACATGAATAATGCGAAACAGAATTAAACAGATTTTACTTACCTGTTCAGGTGTTAAAGGAAGCCAATAGACGGAAGGAGTGGCGATTGTCTTACGAAATAAGTTGTTCAACAACTTTGCAGGTTCTTCACTTTTAGCTAAATCGAATGGGCATCGAATTATTATTATTAATAATAATAATAATAATATAATAATAATAATAATAATAATAAATAATCATAGAAAAAGTGACATGTCTACAAATAGCCAATTACCATAGTGCCATTTAAAAATAGTGATTCAAATTCGACTGACAGATCAAAATATCAGTCAAACGAGAAATGGAAGCTGACGACACATGTGCAGATAAGTCCAAGTCGCCAAACCCTATTACCGCAGCAAGATGAAATTGTTGGGAAAATAACTGTGGTAGTAACAGTACATATGGTGCCAGTAAAGGCTTCGAAAATACAGATTAAAGGAACTAAAAAACAAGGCAATTTAGGGACTCGGGATCTAGAGGAAAACAAAGGGCAGGCGCATCAGGACCACTGTGAATCATTTCGATCCATGTTACCGGAAGTCTTCAAGTTAGTGATGAAGATTTTCACGTGGACCCCATTCAGATAGCCTACATCTACCAAAATGACTTACACAAATTCTATGGCTTTATGGACTGATCCCACGTTTAAATTTGGCTGCCACTGGCATTCTCTTAAACTACTTCTGAACGCGAAACGTGTTCTAACTACCTTGAACGATGAAAGCTCGTTACGTTATGATGAGATTCATCACCTTGCCACCTAAAGCCTAACCTCATAATTGCTAAGATTATTGTCTCAACATTCGCGTTATACACAAATACAACTTATTCATTGTTTAAAAGAGGTGAAAATATCTGCATTTTTGTATGCAGGTTAGATATCATTTTAAGTACCATACACAATAGTAAGTAGTTTAGTTTAGATATGAAAATAGTTGACTAATTCATCTGGTATTTATGTATGAGCCAAACTGTGAGAGTACAGGCTAGTGGTACCATATGCTTACACAAACCGAAGGTGTAGCAGTATTCGAACTTGGAGCTTATCGGCTAAAAGTCGAAAGCTCTAACAGCTAAAAACCATCCCACTCAATTTAGACATGAGATACGAAAATTGAGATCTGAATGCTCAGAATCAATAATAGCTTCAACGCAACTTCCTCAATGCTGCCTCTATTCCATTAATTTCTGTCGTAGTCAACACGACGTAGGGAATAAAGTTTTTCGATAAGTTCGGTAAATAAACGACAGAAATTTCGGCGGCCTAACCACTTTTCCCAATGTATCACACTTTTCAGTCCATTTTAAAATTCAGAAAACTGAAAAATTAATCACTTCACGATAACAATACTGACTAAATAATAAACACTAGTTAGAAAACTTATTGTATTTTCCTTGTGTTTTTATGTTTTTTAGGCTAAAAGAGATAGTAATGAACGTAGTCCGGTTATCGGTGTTAAACGAGATTTTTTGAATTACGAACTTTGACCCAATAAAAGTTCAGCGCTAACCTGAATCACTACAAATTTACTGGCCGCTTTTGTATACAAGTATCTTATGGCGTAATTCCTACAGCTAAAACGGTATAAACTTTACATGTTGGACGAAAGAGTACTCAACCCAACAGCGACACGACTTATTACCAAATAAAATAATCATCCTAATGTTTTTTTCAACAATGCAAAGACTTGATGATGGTAAACAGGAAAGTAAAGTCAGACAAGTATTACACAATATCGAATCAGACTAAATACTTACGTTTCGCTTCAACTATTGGAGACGCTTTATTTTCACCTTGTCGAGATTTGGTAACAGAAAGAGGCTGCTCTATGTCTCGATTGCTTCGTTCTAATTTTCGTCTTAGATCGATAGGTTTTTTTTCTTGGTCTGTGGATGTCGTAAAACCATTATCTAAAAACACAGAACGAAACAATTATCAGGAAAATAGTTCAATATAACGGAGAATGAGGACAATGACGAACAGAGAAGTATGGTAAAACTAGGGAATTTTATGACATATCACTAGTTTAACGAACAAGTAACAATATAAATACTTGTGGAGACTATTGCATGCCACCGATATCACAAGTCGAGCTGAAAAACAAAAAGCACTAGACAAGTTCTTCTCCCTAGTATGAGACCCCGGAGTAATGGAGTATTCACGGATCAACCGCAGGGGATTGAATCCAGGTCTTTTAGTCTCACATGTGAACACCTAACCTCTGAACCACTAAAACGACATCCAATGGTGTGGAAGTCTAACTTTAATGAATCTATCATATCGCGTGATCACGTTTCATTGAATACAATGAAATTTATCTCTAGTGGGCATATAATAATTATTAGTATAATGTTGTGAAGATTGTTGAATGTTATTGGCATCACAAATAGTAATGCATAGGATCTTAATCAAAATAAAACAATAAATATTTGGAGACGAAATTTACTGAATTACAGAGAACATCGAAAAAGTAAGCAGTGTGAAAGGAACAGACTTAGTGACAGTGTAATACGTACTGAATCTATAAGACTTCGAAAACATATTTTCAACTACACAAATCAAAGTGAAATTTCTGTAAATGTTAACGATATATACTTTATATTTTTTCATCTTATAAATACTTCACATACATGAAACTAATACAAATTTGATAAGTCAGTTATTGTATAGACAACTGTAGAATGTTAAACCGAATTATGGTAACAAACATTAGAGAATAAGTATAGTGGTTTTAACAAAACGATCATGTTTATTAGGGATTTCGGTTGGGCTACGATACTTGCGAATTTAGGATCAATTAAGCTAATTTTATACTAATGGTTTCACTATGAACTCAGTAACACCAACTAAACACAACAGTTTAACAAGAAAAACAAATGCCTGAAACAATTGATATTCCGACACAATCCAATATACTTAGTAACGTCAAAGTATCCTTCAAATATTTAGAAAGTTAGTAAACTGAAAGAGGTAACTAATCAGAAAAGGGAAAAGGTCATATGAAAAATCGAATTTAAAAAATGTATTCGCAGTTACTGTTTTCAGTAAGACTTTAGTATTCTTAACAAAATTGAGTAATTCTATGATCATTTTGGTTTTAGTGAATAAGAAAGTTAAAAAGTATGAAAAACGAAAATTACAAAACATTCATAACAATTATAGCTGTAATATTGATCGGAACCTAAAACAAAATTTTGCGGGAAATTTGATCGAAAGGATGAAGAAAATATAGTGTATGTGATGTTGTAACCTTTCCAGAACCACATCATTCAACAACCACTTATAACAGACAAGATATACGAAACAATAAGCAATGAAGTTTAACGTTAAACATTTATACCAACAAAACAATGAAAATTACTGTAAAAGTAAAAATATAGTTTGCATTGATTTTCCTTTTAAGATAATCCAACTAGAATCAGGCAAACACGATCTGTTAACGGTCACCGATTCAAACTTTTAGATCGTGTGTGCCATTGAACCGAACGCCATGGAACTCGCATTCTGGATGGCAGATTTACGAGGACAGTTTCTTGTGTATTATCTTAGGTTGGAGCGGAAAATAAAATATTTGTCTTCTTAATAATTTGGGGTTGGGTAATAGTTATTGAGAGCGTAATACAAGTTCTGTTGAAAAGTATTCACATTGGACTTACCATTGCGTTGATATTCGATTTGCGTAGCTTGGATTGGGAGGGTGTTAATATTAAATTATCAACTAATCAGAGCGTTAAGATACAAAGAGTAGGGTTAGTGATACTATCCGATTTTCTAAATCGAATGAAGTGAAACAGCGTGAGAACCTTTAGCTCAACGGTGACTATAAACATGTTCATCGCTATAGAAATTTTAGAACCTCAAAAAAGGGTATAATTTAAGTTGTAGGATTAAATTGTGTTGATTCAAAATAAAAAAACTTCGATATTTAATATAACTATAATTCATTGATAGGTGTTTACAAATGGAATTGAGAGAAAAAATGGATCAATTATAAAAATCGAAAAGTACAAACCTGATTTATTAGCTTCCACTATGGAAATCTCTGTATTTGAAGAAGCGTCACCAAGTAACAAATGCTTCGGTGGTTGAAGATCACTAGAATCTCCGTTGACCTTCATCCATTCAAATAAATCTGTACTTGCGTAGTCGCAGCGTAACACACGTGGGTTCATTGATGGCCAACGACATCCATCTAATCCGTCACGACATCTGTATGGAATGAAATATGTCAATATTTAAACGTATTTAATTATTAAATAGATACTGTGATAATTAGAACTTCAATGATAAACATATGATGATGCTGGTTTCCTCAGATCTACAGATAAATTACACTAATAGCTAAGGTGCAGCAATAACTCAAAGGAAATTCATATCACATTCGGCAATTGGTCAACTTTGATTTACAACTTTAATTAAGAGAACCAGTTCTAACTAGATCAAGAAGTATGTGCAATGTATGATGTTAAATCTCAAATGTTTACGTCAGAAAACATGATATCTAGGCAACAATTAAAACATACGATAGGAAGCATCATACTCAGGTCATTTTATTATACACAAGAAGCAGTACAAAGAATGATTATTTTCAAGTTGGATAAGAAAAGGTTAGCTGAAAAACGATGACAGTTCATTTTGAGAAGTGGCTTCACCAATAGGTTATCAATGATTAGAAATTTGCATACTGGACAAGAAATTAGAATCACTGAGAATTTCAATCCATTTGAGTAGTGAGACAAAAGTAACACCAAAAAAATTGGTCATATATATAAACTTCATTTATACAGTATTAGAAGTAGTAGTAGACATACAAGTAATACATAGTTTATAGATAAACGGTTCACAGTGTATATAAAGTACGTTAATCAATAAATTTTATTTACTTTGCAGCATATTCAACTGTTTGCAGGCGTATCAGTGAAGATGATTTGATTTTATCCAGCCATAGATCAACAACTGGACCGAAATGAGTTACAACCATTTGACGCAATTGTTCAGCAGTAAATGGTCGTACAAGAAAGCGAATATAAACAATATCCGTTTGTGGATGCTTAGCAGGTTGTATGGGTTCAATACGCTCTGGTGGTTCCACCAAATAGCCTACAGCCTTTGTTTCTAATTTCAAAAATAAGAAATAATGCAGAAACAGAAATTTAATTCCAGTCGATAGAAGAGTAACAATTATGTTAGTAACCTCTAACTTAGATTTTCGTTCCTAACTAATCGACCACGTATTACTTATGCCCGAACACCGATTACCACGACGTGCAATCCTAACCGGTGTTCGGGATGGTTGTAAGAAAGTTAGGGGCGGCCAAACCAAAACGTGGCATCAGTGCTTGAAGACACTAACTTGTAGTCTGAGCCATGTTGGTAGATGCAGACTACTTGGTTGGGGTCCGCGTGACTATGGTAACCAATGGTTGGAGACTCTTGGTGACATGGCTCAGAATCGATCACAATGGCGTCGGTGTATACACTCCCTGTCTTCCCTTAAACTAAGAGATTAAAATTGCATTATATCTTTCTTTCTATGAACTGATTCTTTCTTCCTGTACTATATCATTATATGCAATCTTTCTCCTATATACTACCACCTTTGACCTAACCACTCCTATGAATCCGGTGTTCATCTTGCTGTGCTAATGAGGTGTGGCAACTTGGACCGATGCATATATGTGCCTGGTCCTACGTTGTAGCTGACCGACTGACTGACTGAACTAATCGACACCAATGGACGAGCTGGAAAGACTTTGAAATATCACTGCGTAAAATTTACATATATACTAACATTTTTCTGCCTAACTTACTGTTTTGTTCCGTAATATGTATTTACGTTCCGTTTAAGTCGTATTTTGATTTTCAAACCAGTCGAGTGAAGCAAGATGCTCGAGAATACTAGGCAGTAAAAGAATACCTTACCGAATAAGCAGACCTAATAGATGGATTTGAAATTTAGATGGACAAAATGAATATCTGTGATAAGTGAGTTAAATTTTCATTTAATTAACCTTTTTAACCTTCGAATCGTGCAATATTTACCAAGCAAAGCAATAACGTCGCACTGATTTGAACGGAAAAGTTAATCATAAAAGTGTGAGCGTGCTAACAATGCGATCGTGGTTGAAAGTCGCACGTATTAACCATTAAGCTACTAACATGTTCATATATATCTTAGAAAACCATGATATAATTATTTCTATGGGGCGATTCACCTCATTAGTAGAGGTGATTGTCAGGGCGAATCCCAGAATGGTACAGATGATAATAGCATTAGTGGTAGTAGAATGGATTAAATATCGATACATGAAAATATAAATCAGTAAAATAAGAAAATGATCAAGAATTCAAAAGCTTAAAATCTGGGCGAAGACAAAGAGTGGATACACCTAGGCGGCTTCAAACTACTTCGAGACATGTTACTCGAAGTCTTTAACCATTGGTAATGGTAATGAAGTGAACCCCGACTAGGTAGTTTAGATTTGTTAACATGGCTCATTTCAATTGTCAATAACTTCATGAATTGATGCTATGTTTTTGGTTTAGCCATCCCTAGTTTCCTTCCATACAGAAACAATTTAGAAAACAAGAAGCATTTCTTAGTCATGTTTGGTCTCATTCAAAATAAAAAGTCAGTCAGTCAGTCAGCTACAACGTAGGACCAGGCACATATATGCATCGGTCCAAGTTGCCACACCTCATTAGCACAGCAAGATGAACACCGGATTCATAGGAGTGGTTAGGTCAAAGGTGGTAGTAAATAGGAAAAAGATTGCATATAATGATATAGTACAGGAAGAAAGAATCAGTTCATAGAAAGAAAGATATAATGCAATTTTAATCTCTTAGTTTAAGGGAAGACAGGGAGTGTATACACCGACGCCATTGTGATCGATTCTGAGCCATGTCACCAAGAGTCTCCAACCATTGGTTACCATAGTCACGCGGACCCCAACCAAGTAGTCTGCATCTACCAACATGGCTCAGACTACAAGTTAGTGTCTTCAAGCACTGATGCCACGTTTTGGTTTGGCCGCCCCTAACTTTCTTCCAATCATCTCCAATACCGGATAGCATTGCACGTCGTGGTAATCGGTGTTCAGGCATACGTAACACGTGGCCCAACCATCTCAGTCGATGAAGATTCATAACCTCATCAACTGATTTACCATTATTCCCTAATACCCTGCGTCTAACCTCACTATTACTTACCCGGTGATCCCAGCAGACGCCAGCAATATTTCTAAGGGAACTGTGGTCAAATACTAGTAGCTTACGAATGTCTTCTACTCTTAATGGCCATGTTTCGCTGCCGTAAAGTAAAACAGAACAGACTGCCGCGCAGTATACCCGTCCTTTTATTGATAGACGGATATCTCGCCTTCGCCAAAGGTGACGTAAGTTGGCAAAAGCCAAGCGAGCTTTTCGAATCCGTGCTGAGATTTCGTCCGATACCAACCCATTAGGGCTAATCAGACTTCCAAGATATGTGAAGTTGTCAACGCGTTCGACTACTTCACTCCCTATCCTTAGTTCAGGTGTTAACGCAGACCAGTCCTGAAGCAACAACTTGCATTTAGAGGGAGAGAAGCGCATTCCAAACATTCTGGCATTGTTGCTCAGTGCTACCAGAAGACTCTGCATTTTGTCAGCGTCTTCACCAAACAGGACTATGTCATCTGCGTATTCTAAGTCGATAAGTGGACCTCCTGGATGGAGATCAATACCCGAGAATTCAGTCGACGAGAGTGTTATTTCCATCAGTAGATCTATGATGAAGTTAAACAAAAATGGGGAAAGTGGACATCCTTGACGGACACCACTTGAGGTTCCAAAGGTAGATGACAGTTCGCCATAAGCTCTCACTCGACTAGTAGTGTTCGAGTAAAGAGCCTTCACAAGGTTTATGTACTTCTGAGGTACGCTTTTCAATGACAGACACTGCCACAGAATCTCGCGGTCTACCGAGTCAAATGCTGCTTTTAGGTCGAGAAAGACCACCATTGTCGGACGCCGATTAGTATGCCTACGTTCTAGAACCTGACTAATGGTGAATATGTGGCCGATGCAGCCACGACCAGGTCTGAAACTAGCTTGATCCTCTCGTGTTTGCAGTTCACGAGTCTTAGTTAGGCGTCTGATAATTATCGAGGCTAGTATTTTAGATACTATATTAGTTAACCTAATCTCTCTGTGGTTGTCACAGGATGATTTTAACCCTCTCTTACATATTGGGACTATAAGTGATTGTGACCAGTCAGATGGAATAACGTCTAACTCCCAGATCTTAGTCAACCCAATCGCTAAAATTGGACCACCATCCTTAAAGACCTCTGGAGTCAATCCATCTGGACCAGCCGCCCTTCCTCGTTTCAGATTAACTATAGCCTTTTGAACTTCTGCTAGAGTTGGGGGACCTACTTCAATGTTCCATTCACACTGTCTGGGAATGGAGGGTAGTTGTAGAGTAGCTGAAGGTCAGCTGAACTGCTCCTTAAAATGTTCCGCCTATCGTTCTAAACGTCTGGACTGAGAGTAGTTACAAGTTGAGAATAAAACGTAAAATTACAAGAAAAATTTAGAGGATTATACATTAAATAAATTGCATATATACGTTTATTTAATTACCTTTGGGACCTTTGCGTTTAGGCGGTGGTGATTTCTTTGTTTTAGTTAAATGACATGAATTCGATTGTAGTCCTTCTCCTATTTTTGTCATTTGATTGGTAGACTGTGTAATAGTAGGATAATTAACATTTATGCCTGTAGTCATAGCAGCAATAGTTATTGGTGGTGGTGTTGTTATATTAATAGTAGTTGTAGTAGTAGAAGCAGTATTAACAACACATCCACGCTTGATAATGACATCTAATTTTGGGCTTATATCAGATGACGATAAATGAACAGTACGAGAATCATATGCAACTGAAATTTCTTCAATAGGGTTATTATTGTCATCATAAGTATCCATGTTTTCTACAACTGCATCTACTTCTAATTCAAGCTCACGCTCAAGATTATTATTATTATTACTATTGTCTTTAATTCTGTTGTCGGAACTGTTTTCTTCATTAATATTATGATTATTTTTATGATCGGTGAATAATTTATTTTTAATTCTATGATCAAACTCATTATTTTCCTCTTTCGCATTATCATCAACATCATCATTAAACGGTTCACATTTCTCATTTGAATCATCAATATGACTGACGGTGTCCTGAATAGCGACAGGTGATGTGTGTGAAACTTCATCATTTTCATTATCTATCACTGTACTTTTACTTCGTATCCAACATGAAGTTGGTATGAGTTTCTATTAAAAAAATTAATAATACCAATAATAAAAATAAAAAACTTGATTTGGAGTCAATTCAACTTTGAGTAAATTGTGAAAGCTTCCCAGTTAAACTTCAGCTTAAAGGAGTTTATGCCCAGAACTAAAGTGGTTAGTACTATTTTATTTTTAAACACCGCTGATTCAGTTGGAGATTGACCTTTCCCGCACTACTTGACAGCCAGTCGATGAGATCTAAACTCACACTGAAAATATGATTGCTACTTACATGCACTAATATTTTCTCACCATTCATCGTTGTTCAGTATGGTCTACTCTCATTTCCTGACTGACTAATTTTATCTCCAACTTATTTATTTAATTGAACATAAATATTGGTACAAAGGAGCACCAAATACATATGCGCCACACAAGTCACTTGATTTCTGTGTGAGCCGTGACACTACTCGGGTGCTCAGACCGGAGCAGGTCCCAATGTATTAACTGTTTTCTTTTCAAAAAGAGATATAAAGTACTGGGTTTGCTTCTTTCATGACTGTAGTTCCGCTTAGGTGGGGTTATGGAAATTGTAAGAGTGAAAATTTGTAGGTTAGAAAACTCGACAACCGACACAATCAGAAGTATGAATTTTGAAAATGAAAGACGAACAGAAGCTGTAAACATTTAATTCTAGTGTCTTTGAAAGATTGCTAGTTTATAACAGAACTTCTACGTTATGTAGTGCTGTTTATGTGTTACGTATTACGTGAAGCCCACAAATTATTGTATGAAGTTGCGAGCACCTTTTTGACTATGTAGCTTTCAAAGTATGTTGCACCGGCGTAAAATGATCATTACTGACTAACGGCAGCTAATTCATGTCAAGATTTTAGCTGATACATGACTACTAGGTTTTTGAAAGACTGATCAACAAATGAAGTCTCATTTATTACATATTTAAGGTTTTCTTAGATCTTAAATAGTGCTTGCGTCAGACTTTTCTATTTAAGAAAATAAACACCATCGGCTTTTTTTACGGAATAAGAGTCAAAGACCTACCTCTAAAGATTCTGAAGACAATGATGGGGTGCTCGCGATTGAGCGTGACCCCCACTGTCTTCTACGTACCGGTTGTGCTTCCACTTCTGTTTTGGTATCAGTCGTAATCGAAATAGGTGGGTCTGAAACCTGTGTACCATCGGTGACCTCGAAGTTCGATACTTCAGCCGACACTCCTGAGTTGTTAGGATCTATGAATAACGATAAGTGGTACCAGTTCAAATAAAAATATAACAATAAAGAGGAGATTTAATTTGGAGTAAAACCAAAAAAGTGCACACTAATTATATTGTGCATAACAGTAGTAAGCTAAGCTGTGGTGATATACTACGGAGACCCTATAAATAACATGGTATCGGCCCGCTAAAATTGAGCTAGTAGCCTAAAATAATTGTACTCTATATAGAAATGAACAAGCATCATAGATATATGCTTTATAAACTAACATACATAATTACTGCACTTTTCCCTTTGACAGATGAACGGACACCCTCCATAACTTAAAAGGAATCATATTTTAATACGGCGTAAATATACAATTCATAATATACTTGACATTTGCAAGTGCACTTACCCGGTTTAGATTCGGAGATTACAGATGGCGACTTACAAAGACTTTCAGACTTCTAAAATCCAAGTAATTTAAATGTAACAAAACAAATACGTAAGATCACATTACTCAACTTTATTAATAAATCATTAGTTGGAAAACAAACAAACAAACATATCAAGAAACACTCCGTGATGGTTATCTTATTTCACACTTGCTGACAGACAGTCAGAAAATTTTAGAAACACTTTTTATGAATCAAGACAAAACAACCATTCACTTACGCTATTGTTCATTTGTAGCAACAATAAACTTAATGCATAATAGCACAACAGAATGAATCAATCATGCTAGCAGGGCTACATAAAAACCAGCACCACAACAGGATTTCGTCATGGACAATTAATTAAATGCCTCTATCTTATGAGCAACAACAACTGGAGTAAACAAAGTAAACACATTTAAAAAATCTTTTTTAAGAAAAATACAAACAACGTAATACGAAAAAAAAATTAACCTGAAACTTCGTTTCTACATATACTTGACAGATCACGTAGAGTACACATCACTATACGCGGTTCTTCTGAGAATTATACCATCGAATATCGAGATGTATAAAAATAAGTTGTTCTGTATTATCATGACCATAGGTCTTTCATTACATAATTGTCAATTTTTAGTAAGAGGAAATGAGTGATGTTTTGAAGTGTAATTAACTAAATTGTCACTTGAAAATATTTATCGATTTAAGCTAAGAAGACCAATAAGTGATTTGGTAATAATAACAATAATAATACAAAAGACTGATTTGCAGAACAATGTTATCATGTGGATTGTCTTTCAAAGAGATCGTTATCAAAATTAAGAAATATTACATTTAGGGTACGTGGATTGTTGAATGTTTAGTGGTACAATACCAAAAGGAGGAATGAATGATTTTCTTTAAAGTAACCAGATTAAGAAACGACACTGATAGAATAAGATGGAATAGTACAGATTTTTTACAAAATAAGACAACAAATCGAGTTTGAAATAAAAAAGCGCCTTAGTTCATGTGAGATTAAATCACGAAGGTTTTGCAATTGTAAATGTACAAAAAACGAGAACTGAGATATTGAGTGAAAAAGGACAAAATGTCAATTTAGAAAAGCGAAAGAATAATTACTGTTGGGCAATACAATTGATTTTATTCGATAACGACAGTTTAGACAACAACAGTTTGGTTTTAAAGATACTAAATATTTATGTTGTTAGGATGTCTTTTTATTTCAACATTGGTTAGTGAAAAAGAGATTGCGTAACAATTGTCAGTAATTTTCAAATATGAAGTTTTTTTTCAACACAATCCATATGCAACACGACCAGCATAGTAAGAAGAGTTACAGATTTGAATTTCGAAAGGTATAACCGTCGTTATAATCAAAGGCCATATATGATTGGATTATAAGTTGCCCCAATTGACTGATTAGGTGAGACATCAGTAAGCGTGCTGTCTAACAAACGCGTAGTGCGAATGCGACCATCTCATATGTGAACGACTAGCGAGTATAAACAGGAACAAGGAGTACATTTAGGCAAGTACAAAAAAGGTAAAACAAACACCAGTGACGAAGGATAAAGAAGGAAGGTTTTCGGTAAGTTATTAACATATTTAACAACAAAAAATAATAAAATGACATATTATAATTGCATAAATCCACTATCAATGCTACAAATGATATAAAATCTATAAACATCTATACACGATCATACTACAACTGATTTTTCTTACGCTATTAAGAACAGATTATATCAAGTATCAAATATTAACAGTTAAACTTACAGCTATTTCAATGCTGAAAACAAAATGAAATGTCTTAGTAGAATTAATATGAACAAAGTACGATGTAGTAACTAGTTATACTGTAACAATCTACGATCCTTTGGTTCTATTCATATGTTCAGTATAATAATACCTTGAAACTAAGTTTGCTGAGAAAAAATATCAACTACTTTCACAAAAGTACTAGAGTTTAGTGAAGACATCGCTTACACGATGCTATGTTGATTTAATTAAGTTCTTCAAAGCAATACAGAGATAATGTGCACCGGACAAGTTCCATACATCAGCAAAGATAAATTAACATAAGTATGACTGTTTATTATTTAAACACAAAAAATGGTACAAATGAACACTAAAATGAATATGTACCACACGATAAGCTAACATTGTGAAGACAGAGAAAAGTAAATATAAGTAAAAACAGCAAAAGGATAAATATTTGGACCAGAGTGGTATACAAAGGAAAAGCGGTTACATAAGGAAAAATGCAACCACAGGATTTTTCAGGTACAGAAGCTCCTCTGACCTATATAAAGTAAAAAAAATTACATTAGGACTGCCTTTGGCTTTATTTTAAACCATATTTGATGTCTTACGTCACTGTGTTGCACTACCTCTAGGACATCAACAAAAAAATCGTGAATGACCAACGGATCTCAGTCTTCACAGCCTTCTTCCATATGTCACTGTGTTATAAACTGATCACTGTTCCGCCAATTCCAACCAGTCTCTATAAATAATGCACGGTGTGGAGTCGCTAGGACGAAACTTATAGTGCACGTGGAAGCCACCGCCTTCGCCAGTGGTGACGCGGTTTGGCAAAAGCGAACCGTTTTTTTCGAATCCGTGTAGAGACTTTGTCAAACATTAACGCATTAAAGCTGACCAGACTTCCAAGATAAGTGAGGTTGTCGATACGTTCGACTACTCAACTCTATCCTTAGCTCAGGTGTTGACATAGGCCAGTCCTGAAGCAACAACTTGCATTTAGAGGAGAAACGCATCCCAAACATCCTGGCATTGTTGCATAGTATTATCAAAAGACTGCATTTTATCAGTGTTTTCACCAGACAGGACTATATCATGAGTATTCTAAGTCCATAATTGGACCTTCTGGTAGATCGATTCCTGAAAATTTCTAGTCCAACAACAGATAATCAAATTTTAATGGGAAACCAATGGTTCAGTATTATTTTTGTTGTGGTACCAAATGTGAAAACAACGCTATCCAATACCGGACGATGTCATTTTCAGGATAAACACACGTAAGACACACAATGAATAGGAGATAAACTTAAGTAACAGAAGTAGTAAAACATAGCAAAAACAATAGTTAGATGTATTTAGAGGTTCGTCTGCGTTAAATGAGCCACCAACTAATTTGTTCAGTTTCCTCATACGGAAAAATTGCCCTGATATGATCGAGTGTGCGAAGAGTCCGCTCAAACTTTTGAAATGCTCTCACATAGTCACGCGTATACGAACACTTTCAAAGAAGTCCTACTCACTACCTTCTATCATTGGTGTTTTTACGAAATTCAAAGGACGAAGTGCGAATGGCCAACGCTTTAACCGGGTTGGTGGACATGGAGGATTCATATAGGGGAGAGTTGAAAAACCACAATTCTAAACCAATGATGCACATCGGCCCCGGATCCTAAGGAAACAAATGGCGTATGAACCTGTTGGATACAGATTACCGTAGGACTACAACTCCTAACATCATACCACTGTCTTGCGGATTAGACGTTTAGGTCAAAGGCTTGAGGTGTAGTCCCCTAACAAAACCTGTTTCAGTTTGGGTGCACGGGCAGTATTCTAGATTCACACATATCGAATGGTTTGTGTGGCGCACATGCATTTGGTGTCCCTTTGTACCAATATTTGTGTTCACATAAATAAAAATACAGAGAAATTTATTATCATTACAAAAATGACTGGTCACTACACGGAAATGAAGAACAAGTCTTATTTGGGAATTTGGCAACACTTCCTTCAAATTTATGGTTGAGTATGACTAAATAGATTGCAGCGCAGCATATTTTGAAAGACAAGTATTCAAATACGTATGAACGGAATCTCAACTCGATTTGTCAATGGATAGGTACTTGAATTTTTCATTTAAAAGTAAACATTATTGTGCGGCAAGCTAACTAGTAAATATACTCGGACACATCTGGATACCCAACATTTTGGTTTGGTTTATGTAAGCCGTTATTAAGCGAAGAAAGTGCGTAAGCAATTCTAAGGATGTGATGAAAATCTATCTGGAACCAATCACAAAACTTTTAGATAAAATTACTGGTTTTAGGTGTTATATTTTCTTGAACGAACTACATTAATCCTAACCAGAAAACACGGTCTGATAAGGATTGGCAGAATTTTCATGACAAACTCTCAAAGTTGGGCTCCAATTGACTATTTTAGTTTATACCAAAGTCCCAAGGCTATTACGCGACTCCGTAATTTGGAATCCACACAATACTTGTAACTAACAATTGAAGGCGTTGTGTTACATAATGTGTCGATTTTCCACTTCACTCAAAAATTTTCAGCAAAATATCATGCTTAAATTTCCATTCCTTGGTCGCAACTGATCGTTTTGGGCTGTAACTATTGTGTTAAAATTTCTAGAGCTTTTGGTACCACTTTCAGTTTAGCCCTACTGTGGCTTTTTTTGTTGTGACTTGAAGTGGCAATTAAATTGCCAAACAATCATTCGAGACCTAACACTGACAACTGACTAGGAGCTTCAACTAATATATGAAAAACCGAATCAGAAAAAATTGAGGCATTCATTTATTCTTACTTGACTTCAGATATATCAGCAGATGTAGATACTTCAGTAATTTCTTCGTCCGATGCGACTGCATCAATTTCTAAAGTATCTTCGTTTTGTACATTATTATTACCACCAAGGGGGTCTTCTGATTCTACACACTTGGCAACAGATCCAGACTCCTAAAATAGATGAAAATGGGGAGGGTGATTTAAAATAACCTGAGTGCTATTCAAGTCAAAACACTGCCTTCACATCGAATGGAACGTTTCATTTATGACCCATGTAATATCCAGGCACTCACGTTGAGGTGTCAACGCACTCCATGTGAAGGATGTTCTTCATACACATAGATTTTAGTGGGATCATGAAGTTGAGTTATATCAATTGGATTACCGATTCCAGTTATCACTCAACTAGCACGTTAACGGTAAAATTTGCTACTACTGCTCTTTACGCTTCAAATGACGTTTACAAATTTCCAATCCACCTTTATGCATTCAATACTATTGTTAATCGTATAACGCTCGGTTTTACTTCGTCTAATGTTATAACCGTTGGGTTCCCACGTTTACACGTATGGGACGTTAATTTGCCTTTGACGAATATCTACACTAGATTCCCTCCCAGTGCCTACTTTACAGGACGTCAACACAACTTAGATAAAAAAAACACGTGATTAGCCTGACCATAATGTAGATATATTTCTACACCAAAACCCGACACAATCTAACAATAAACAGTCAGTAATAGGTGAGTAACAATAATAATAAGGATAGGGGAATATATAACTCATCTGACACCTGTCAGACTATCTACATATCTAAGCAGACAACCGATCATTATCATGCATGCCCACACATCAGTTAGCGAGGGCTTTTGAAGAGTCTATTGTTAGCTTTAATCTTGCTTCAAAACATTTAAATAATAATCTAAATACTTCTCAGTAGTAATTTGCTTAGGTTTTAGCCACGTATTAGGAGGTAGTGAACTACCGGTCACCAGTTGATACGTGTATACTTATCGAGCCTTCCAATGAAACACAAAAAGTACAAACCGTTCGTTTGAAGCGGATGAGCAGTAGGATAGCATCTTGGCGACTCTCAGTCTGTAAGAAAACTTTGAGCTAGTAGCTGAGTGAGGCTGTTGTAACCTGTGACCTCTCCTTGATCCATTTTAAATACTCTATGAAGAGATCCAGGACAATACCTGATAAACGTCATAACTCACCTAACTTTCGACGTAACTGATACTATCTTAGACAGTAAAAGGAAGAAACAATAAATACAGACACTACGACTCTTTTCTAAACAGCCTAATGACCAATAATATATACTTAAATATTCACAAGGAAACCAAAGCACTTTGTCATACCTAGAATCCTTAAACGTCATGACGTAACATTCCACAATGAGAATTAGTACGGTAAAAAGGTGTTTCAGAAACTCAGACATATATGTGGTAACTTACATTTCTCATTTGACGCAATTCTCCATCTACAGCATCCGATAGACGTGCGCACAAGTCTTTTTTTACTCCTGAGCGACTAAGACCTCTAATCTCTAGTTGGTTTCGAAGATCAGCAACCTTTAGGTCTCCGATTTTCCGGCCATCTGGCAACAAAACACCCTCCGGAGTAGACATCACGCGCCAAATATTGAAAATGATACATGACAAAACAATGGAAAGTAGGTGAGCCAATAATCAATAACGTTCTGATGAAAAGTTAATTCAAACTCCTGTGGACAGAATCATAAAGCGTGAATGTTGATACATTTCGCTTCTGTCATTAGAAAAAATACTTTTCATTGTTACCGGGAATCTGATTAAGCAAGAAGACATTCTTTGATAGCCAAAATAAATACATTTATAACTACCAACATTGAAACTCTCCGATATGGATTGCTTGATTATATGATGCAGCTCCAACTTTCCAACTTCAAGGAGTTACTGAGCATTTTTGGCGGCAAAAAACCATGCTGTTTGGAGAGAGCCACTAGATCTGTCGACTGAACCAAAAATAGTTAAAATGATTGGGGAAGGAATAGAAGTTTATGCCTTAAAAGCCTCTATTTCTTTAGGTAATAGATCTTTGATGTCGCCAGATCGAAATCTAGATGTATAAAGCAATACGAACAAGAAGAAAGTTAATAAATGACAGTTAAATACCACTGAACACTGGCTGAGTTATCTGTCGCGTTGAACGCATTTACCGATTCTACTCAAGGTCTTGGAATGATCAGCCAAAGGAATAGCTCCAGCGCATGCAAGGATGTAGTCACTGTCTGTTGTACAGTGAACTAACCACAGAGAGCGACATGCATGAATGTGTGGGTTACTTGTTCCTACCATCAAAATATTTCAACAAGTTATCCATTTTGTTCATTTTAACACAATGTTACGTCAATTAGTCGTGTGATCTATTCCGTTTTGTGTATGGAAATTTTACAAACTAGCGCCTGACAAGCTACAAAAAACAACCAGAGACATCGTGGTAGCTGGCAATATGCGTTGAAAAGATTGGAGAATAATAAGATGCTGATTCCTGAACTGCTAACTTACAATTGCCTATCACTAATTGGCATGGTGAATTTTCTTTTTTTCCTAATTCTGAACATGTATTGTAATTGTGGTGTGTTCACAATTCAAGAGCCCTGGTTAAATGATTTACAAGATGGTTGCTTAGTGTCACTACAAGGTTTCAGTACGTATCCCCAGAAGCAATCAATCAATAAAGGAAAGTGCGGCGGCAATGTAAATATATTTGTAAATGTAAACTGATGTCGATCTTTTACTCTGTTTTTAAGTTTTCCAACGACTTTATCTACTGCTTCACCCCAAGATGTGGTCCAAATCACTTGAATAAATACAGTTTTGTTTATATTACCAAAATTTACGTGACTCCGGCTGTAGATCATCTGCACTATCCATTTTTATTAGTAGATTTTCTGGAGTTGCTGTTGCCATCTTCAATCGTTCGTTTTTTATACTATAAGGTGACTGCGAAACGAATCAAACCATCATTCGAGTTATAATGAACCGAGATAGTGAGTTGTCTCATGAAATGGGTTTCAGTATAAGACGTCGTAAATTAATTAGTTACATAACTTCAATCTGACCACATTAAGTTAACATCTAAAAGAACGGTAGTAGATCATGCTCTCAGTTCCTATGCACATGTTGAGGTTCTTTAAGAGAGTAGAAAAGAGATTTTTAACATTTCGGACAGAAGCGATTACAGGACCTAACTACTCATACAGAGTATAAATTATGGCCACAATCGAACCTGTTGGGTTACACTCCTTTCTTTTAATTAATCTCCGTAGTTATGTGTTTGGGTTGAACTCTATTAAATTTTAAGGTGGTGTTTGTGAGTTCTTCCTAATGAAGTCATTTTTGATAACAAATAATTACGAGTAATTATTTTTTCTCCATTCATACCTGAAGCTGGGCAATTTATGAGTATTTAACTGACTTGCTACTGTTATTGTGAATATCGTTCACCATACTGACTTTTAATTCACTGCTTTATCTTGAAGTTTCGGTTTCTAACGTGTTTTGGTTCGGTATTTCAAATACGTGTTCGGGACTCTTTGAAGCTGAAGGACTGTTCATTTTCCTTGATATGAGCCCGAATCTGGAGAATTTTGTCCTTATATTTAATATGTTCTAACAAGATGTCATCTATTGCTCAAAGTTTTTAATAATAATAATAATAATAATATATTTCTGCATGAGCAGGTACACGCCATTTTTACAGGCATGATTTACAAGTAACAACATTTGTTGGCTCACAGCATGCTTCCTAGCTTATCAAGTTTATAGTTGTCATAAGTTAGACTCGCAGAGTGCTTGCTGTAAACCATGACTTTGAGGAGACGCGTACGTCAAGTTTGTTCCAGACCTCAGAAGTTCCATAGCTGTGCCCTCAGAGCAAGATTCTGAAGAAAAAAAGAGGAACAGAAGAGCAGCAAGGCACTTGGATATGAACGCCAAACGTTGCTCAACATTTTGTAGTAGAACAGACAGAGGTATAATAAATTAGATCAAATTCATATTATCTCTTGTTAGAGTGAAATGAAGTCAGAGGCTCCGTATAAGAGAATGTAGCGATAAAGAACAATGAGTTGTGATGTTCAACAAGTTGGAGTAAGCTCACATGAAAGAAGGGAAGTCAGGGTTGGTACAAGGAAAGCGGTCCATTAGAAGCGAGTGTGCATATAGACGGTGAAGTATTCAGAATACTAATAAATATAACTTTTATTGTCTAGTTTTTTTTCCTTCTTTTCTTTTTTTTGTCCACGTGATGCCAGCCACACAATCCTAAATGTAAAAGTCCGAGTTAGCCTGTTATAGGTTGTCTTAGTAGAATAGCTAATCCAACATAAAATTGGAAACATGATTCTGAGTGGTGAGCGTTGGAAGACAGTCTATATCACAAATTGATTGACTCGCTCTCAACCATAAAGAGCCTAATACAAACAAAATGTTCTGCCCCACAAACATGGGTGGATTGAGGTCATCGCCCTGACCATCAATGCTTGCTGGTCAGTAACTCCACCTTCCCTCCTTTTGTGGTGTTAGGCTCATTTAACCTTAATTTTTGGATATATATCATACCTCACACAATGCTCTGTGTTTCACATCCTGTTGGGAAACACTGTTCTATAAGTAAAATTTTACAAGCTTATCAGGCAATTACGAGTTCTGTATTGTAGGTAAGGCATTGATGAAGTGCTTAAATTGACCATATCATGAAGTATAGTTTGCCAATCAGAGTATAAGCATTAAGAAGGGTATAATGTAGAACTGTTGTTTATTAAAACAGGCGGAAAAGTACAGAAGTATATGAGTTGTAGATAGGTAACGAGTGGTGAAATAATATTAATTGCTAGTCAATATAGTGTACAGAAGAGGAAAATGTTAATCAATAATAAACAGGAAGAAACTCACATTAACTTGGTGCTGATGTTATTTTGTGTTGTCGTAACCAGTTGGTAGGTAATAGGCTCCATAGATGCAAGACCACTGGTAGCAGGCAGTCGATTGTGCTGTCCCCTTGACTTTTTAGGATGGTGGTGGGTGTCCCTTAGCAACCGAGTTTAGTTGAACTGTACCGATAGGTCCAGTGAGTTACCTGTCTACTTCAAGTGAAGAAATAGGATAGAAAATGTAACTAATACAACTGCGAAGTAAGAAAATAAGGCAAACTGAACTTGAAGTCCATTTTGGTCTAGACATGGAGAGAGCCTATGATATCTGAGTGGGGCGCAGATGTGTTCGTACGTGCTAGATCAGCGCAAGTGAGAGCTTGATCAAGCAATTTTACAAACGTATGTAATTCATTTGCCGTGCGTATTTCGAAGAGAAGACTGTTCCATATTATTGCATAATTGATGAGGAAGAGGTTTTCCTGAGTTTTTGATCTGTGTTTCTCAACTATGTTGGTAGATACTTTGTTTCGAAGTTCATATTCATGTGAATCTCGGGCAAAAACTATCTTACATGTGGAATAAGTAAGATTTTTGAGTAGTTTGAAGTAAAGAATCAAATAAGACAAAGGCCTTTTTCCAAAGGCAATCCATTCCTAAGATTTGTTATCGGAAACTGTAGTCTTAAGTATTTGGTGGGTGAAGTCTTGTTGTATTCCTTCCTCCTTTAGTGTACCAGATAGGTGGCTCCGCAGACGTGGGCATTCTGTATAACTTGTCTTTGTTCGCAATAAGTATATTATCCTATCTCCGGAACAAATGTGTTCCACAACTGTACACTACACGCACAACTCTCATTATCTCAACTTGATGATACTTCGACGAAGCATCGAATAATTATCATTCACTTATTGTACTCAATAAAAATCGTTAGTCTACTTGTTACTTCGGGAAACTATCCCTGTTCTCTCGTTGTATATTAGCTCTGGGCTGTCTCTTGATAAATGACCAGTCTCTAACCAAAAACGTCCAAGCCTTTGTCCCCACTGGTGATAGTGAGAGTGCCACAGTCAAATGAGACATACTTCTCATATAGTTGCATCCTTTCGCCCAGAAAGACATATGAATAACTTGGAACAACTGCAGATCCGTAAAATAAAGTAGATCATACTGTTGGGGAGTTGGTTCTGTGAAGAAAAGCCTTGTAATAGCCGAAGGTAGCTGCTCATGAGTCGACTAACAACCTGTTGTTAGATTAAATACGTGACAAACAGAAATTACTTGTCGTTATGTCTTGAAACAAGATTAGTTGGTTAAAGTAATGATTTGAAATTGAATGTATCTAATGCTACTGATACAGTTTCCTATACTTTTATCAGTCGCAACAAAGCCAGGCTGCTTTGTTAAGGCGGGGAAAAAACTTAGCTGTAGGCCAATATATTCACCAACCACTTATTATACAGCATCCAGAATAATCGTAAACTTCACCTCATTTTAATTAATATTTTCGGATGAGTTGAACTGTAGTTAATTGACAATCTACAGTGTGCAAGAAATTTTCCAAATTAATAAGTTGATTCAGGAATATTATTCATCGTTGAATTCTATCCTTGGTGTACTCCTAACGGTTATTTAATTCTTTATTTTATGTAGACAACACATTTCGCGTATTAACTTCTACTCATCGGTGAAATGTTTTTGTATTTAATGAAG